TAGTTTCGGCGTTAGAGAGCAGATTCACCCATATTTCCTGGTCGTGTAGGGTTTTACGTCCTACCCACAGCTAAGGGGACGTCAGGTGCCAATGTGGCAGATGACAAATAGCACTGATGTGCTTGCTTTGACGAAAAAAATAAACACGGAACAGTGCAAACAAAAATCAAACACCCAGTTCCATTGAGTTCACATGACTTTAATCCCGCCAATATCTAACAAAACATTACATGTACACAGTTATACAAAGATCAATAGGGATTCGTGTCAGGTGGCAATCTCTTTGAAACCGTGGGATTTGTTTTTGTCAAGTTCGCATTTTACTAACTTCAATTTCCCGAGTGAGTTTTGTTGGTTGTTGTCGTTGTTTCCATCCTTGTTTTCATTTGTGTTTTCTTGTTTTCACAAACGTTGTCATTGTTTTCATTGTTTGTAGCCGTGATGAGGGAAGTGCACCAATAAATCAGATTGTCATCAATGAAGTGAGTAGATTGGTGGTGTTGTTTATCGTTAGAGAACGTAGAGCTACTTGGTGATCCAGTGAATTGCATACCACACGCCAAGTTATCTCACTCTATCTATGTTATACTGTCTAAATCAACCGTCTAGTCACCTCCTGTAATTGTAATTCTGTTGAATGACGTCACTGTGTCAATTAAATCTTGATTATTTAGCTACTGTTTGGCTGTTTTATCGCTTCTATCTTTAATTATTTTGTTTGGTTTTTCAACGTTTTGCGTCCCCACAACAGGCGAGGTCATATGAAGACGTCCAGAGTATCGTTGCTTTATGTAATTTTGTCCTTCGTCAAACAGTAAAGCTCAAGTAACTGATAAAACAATGATAATTAACGACGCTATGATGTTATTTAAAATGTCTATTTATTTACCCTTTAACATAACATGGCCAAAAGTTCGCGTGTATATATATCCAAGCGTACCCGAAATATCGTGTTTAATTTATTTACTGAATTTCGGGGTTAAGAATAATGTTGAACGGTTTCTGAAATGTATAGAACCTGCTATCCCGTGACAGGGCTGTTTATAATGCAATTATAGGTTAAAATTTGAAAACCGCATAATGCTGTATTTATGCCGCTATTGTAACATTCTTATTTGATATGTTCTAGATGTCTGATGGCTTGAAGAGGCATTAAGACACAGTCTGTAAATAGAAAAATCGTTCAATATCTTCAATAACATACCTTTACAGCTATCATGACTATTCCTATGAAGAACATTTGTTTTAGATCTTTTGAAATATTTTTTGTTAACGATAACGAATTTATAACTATATGGTTTATTACAGATCGCATGCGAGCACTCCATTATTTCAAGGGGGAAATGGGAAGGGGCATAAGAGCACTTCTATATTTCAAGGGGGCACGTATTGAACAGGATGGGCCAGGAGAGTGTTTCTATATTTCAAGGGATGTAAGGGCACTTCTGAACTTAGAGAGGTTGGTTGTGCGGAATGCCCTCGTAAAACCTAGAGAGTCTTGAGGAAGTGTCGCATAGGCATGATTTTTAATGGCCGTTTTTAAAAAAAATACTGGCCACACTTCGCATCTTCCGTGATTATTATATATCAAAGGCGAGGTGTTGTTAGTGGCATAGAAACTGGAATGGGCTACTACTGAGAGAAACACTCTATTAGGAACTGATTTAACGGTTACCTGAATGTTTCTCATTCATGTAACAGAGATTGATGAATTTCCTATGTTCGCCGCCATTATACATTTTATGTGAAAACTTGTGAAATATATAACTGAAAACCTACATACCATGCGCTGACCATTGTAAAATGAGCAATTATCAAATGTAGCTAAACAATAACTCTAGATAGCGATTTGTGTTTCATAAATAGGAAATTGGAGAGTTTTACAAGAAACACAAGGCTAGTTGTAGACTCGTACACACCATGCTGCTCACATCCTGTTAATCGTTTTTGTCAAGTTTTCCGCGAACACATTAGAAATTACCAGCAAATTGGTAAGATGTAAAGGACGTGATCAATCAAAAACTTTTTCACAGAATGTGTATACGATTTTATACTAATTACGAAAGTATATGTGTTTCAAATACGTCGAAATATAGATTAAATGAGGATTTTTTTTAAATGTGTGCACGCATGCCACGACGCAAGTGGATTTGGGTAATTAGCCATTAGATACGAGCGGGCAGTATTAGTAAGGTGCTTATTTTCATTGGTTTTGTTACCCTGCGCTAGGCAGGGTTGAAAAAATAGTCTATAGACTCATTGAATGTTCCTCTCCACGGAAATCTTTAGTAAAAGGCGAAAGATTTATGCGTGGTTTGAAGAGAAACCAGAGTAACGAATAATTGGATTTGTTTCAGTATATAGGAAAAATTATAGATAAACTGAGTTGTCTAAGAAAATTGTTTCATAATTATATTTATTTTAAGGTGAAAGAATCTGACAACATGATTGACACTGTTAAAATATCGTTGGTAAATATTAAATGAAAATTAATAAATTAATTCTACTGAAATTTGACTTATGAAGTTTGATTAGGACAATATTTTCTTTTCCTGATATTACATTTTACTGTAGTCACAAAGAGATCTAAGGGAAGTAACCCAATGTAGCCCTCCGGAGCAATGTTAGTACGCCAAACTAACTTACACACAGCGTAACTCAGACAAAACTCACCGTTGTCGACGTCATACCATTAGTCTTCGACTACTATTGACAATTAGTCAATGTACAAATAGTACAGACAAGAATAGCATACTGCAGAAGGCCTTTATATTGTGAGCCGTGTATGATAGTGGTACCTGTACAAGTTTCAAGTTTTATTTTTACACTCACGCCACAATATACGTGCGTAACAAGAGGTCACATATTACATAGTATACATTGATGGACATAGTACACACATAATATGACACATGATACAATTTATATAATAACAACCCATTTCAATAACTCTTTTAGCTAACTTATTTTAGATATTAAGTAGCTTCATTACTTTTTGTATAAATTTACTTACTTTTGTGAAAAGTACCGTGTTACATATTGAGAACATTCCTTTCATTTTGATATAAGTTGGGTTGACATAATAATAATTTGGTATATAAAGTTGTCTAAGAGCTACAACAGATACATTAGTACATTGGTATAAGTAGTGGCATTCGTCCCCAACACAGTAATTACATAGGGGACATAACCTTTCCTCGCGTGTGACTCTATTCCATCTTCCTGTTTCTATAGGAAATTTTATATTTGATGTTCTAAATTAACGTATTACTTTTCGTTCATTACGATTTAGCTTTAATAGATATGGTTCAATATTAAACTGAAATTTGAATAAGGAGTAAACTTGCCCTCGCGAGGAGGTTTCAACATCATGAAACCAACTTTGAATGAATTGATCGCATAATCTCTGCTTAATGATAGTTTTCAAGCATTGTCTATTAATTGTACATGATATTTGGAAAGTCCATAAATTATTAAATCCAGCATTGTTGAAGATATCTCGTATATACGTTAAACATTTAAAAAATAATAAAGAATTCTGGTGCAAATTGTACATTAACTTATACATCACACTAGATAATTTCGATCCACTGATTTTAATTTCTATGGGATACCTTCCTAACTCACCATATATCATATAATTCTGGGTGCTCTTCCGAATGTTAAGAATTTCCTTACAAAACTGTAAATGCATTTTTTCGATACTTTTTGTATTTTCATAGCCCCAGATTTCACATCCATATAATAAAATGGGTGACACAAGTGCATCAAATAATTTCAGTTGAAGATCTACAGGAATGCATATAAAGCTTTTTTTGCTTGCTCTGTTAGTTTACTTTTGGCTTTTGTAAAAACACCATTGTAGTTTAATATTATTCCAAGATATGTGTACGAATCTTGTATTTCTAAAATCTCATTATTTAACGTTAAGTGATGGTCTCTTTTACTTTTTCTTTTTTCAAAAATCAAAACTTTAGTTTTTTAGGTATTAACTGTTAATTTCCATATATAATTTTGGAATTCATTCAATGCGTTCTGTACTAGGCCATTTGGTGTTTCTGACAAAAGCACTGTATCATCAGCATATAATATAATAAACAATTTAAGCACAAACCTAAATTTTGATCACTTAGAGCATACACTTCATTCAAACAAGAAACATTACGTTGATTGAGGAAATCCTCTAAATCGTTAAGAAAGAGGGAAAACAAAAATGGCGATAAGTTTTCTCCTTGTTTTACCCCGACATTGCACATGAAAAAGTCGGATGTATCATTACCATTTATTACGCATGATTTGGTACAGTGCAGCAAAATATACAGTTGTCTGGGTTATGTAAATTCTGGTAATCTTGTAACTATTTTCCTATGAAGCCCTGACAGCTAGTCCTAAGTATATATTTATTTAGAAGACTTTGAACCAGAGACCTGTACATGGAGATTAGGCACCAAAGGCAGCTTGGGAATTCAGGCACAACATATAAATGGATGAGTATTAAAAGAGGGATAACGATTGTGAACATTAATTTGGCACGGGAATGTAGTTTACCGGCCTACTGTTGTGAAACTGGGATTTGTTGACATTCGTTATAATATATTATCTTAGAAAGAGAGTAATTCTCTATATAGCGGCTTGCTAAAATCGTATTTATCATTACAAGTGTATCTCTATGTCAATGTGATATCAACAATATCTTTATAATCGTCAAGAGAGTCGGTTTATATGTTTTGCCAGTTAATTTTTTTTCACAAAGTCGGACGTCAAACTTTCCCGCAATCTATATGTCGTTGTATACGTGACGTAACTTCCGGGTTATTTCGTCAGCTATTAATAGTATCATACGTTAAAGATAACGGAGTCTTTGTAATTCGTACTGATTTTGTCCATAAGAAAGAATTACATATGTAATTGTAAAATTGTATTTCAAGAATGTTATGTTTTGCGTTACCATTGTTGCACGCGCTATTCGATATAAAAAGCGGATTGCGGTCTGTTTTGAATCGGTCGAGCTGGTAGAGATCCTGAGTGTACCAAGCGAGGTAACTCTTGTGAAAGGTATGGCATTTTTATAGGAACTGAAATTATACTCTATCTAGTTAATGTAGTACTTATATATTTCCAATTCATATTCACAACCTTCGGTGAACCGTGAAGTTGGGCTCGGAGGAAAATAAGTTACAAATACTAATTTAGGGAGTATTTGAATATATTTCGATAACTTGCGTGAGCCACGTAATGCGGAGTCACAAGAAAGTAATTGTGTTTAAGGTTTAGATAACTCTATATGTTATAACCTGTGTTGAACCGTGAAGTCGGTCTCACAGGAAACTAAAGAAAGTTGTAAGGCATAGATAAATCTATAAATCATAACCTGTGGTGAGTCGTGAATTCAAACTTGTAGGAAAACAATGTACATGTAAGGTTTATTTTAACTAACAGTTAAGCTCCGCGAGCATATATTTCTTGATTGATAAGTAATTCCTAGTGTTTATGATAGCTATATTGTTCAAGTAGGATTTTTCATGATATGTATTTTGTATACTGATATGTATATGCATGGTATGTAACTGAATAAACACCATCCTTGTACTTGATATCAACGTATCGAACTCTTAATTTCTGGTACCAAATAACGGCTTTCCATACAAGAAGACACAATTTTATTACACCTACTGTCACTGATTTAGCTACATTTTGACCAGGTAACTGACCAGAAGTCTAATATATCAAACAGATAAGGGACATAACTCTGTCGACACAAACACTGTCTGTGTTACTATATGTGGTCAAAGACGTAATTTTACACGTTTCAGTGGTTAAGATAAACTTTCGGTAAAAAAAACACCCACCTTAATGATACATGGTTTTTATTCATAGTAAATTCTACATGTTTTTGTCTGTAATAGAAATAATTCGAACGATTTTAACTTGTACATGTGTTGGATTCATTTACTCACAACCCGGTGCCATCAGCTAAAATGGGTAAGGTAAACAATCCAAAGGTTCCGCTCTCGACATGTATGTGTATTGCAGAGTTATCTTTTCTTGAGAGCAGGTATTGCTTGTTACGTCATTTGTTTGTGAGAGTAACGTCATCATTTTTTGAGAAAACGACGTAATTTTCTCTCACAAACCAATGACGTAACAATCAATACCTGCTCTCAAGAAAAGATAACTCTGCAATACGCAAAGACGGAATATCGAGAGCGGAACCATTAGGATTTCGAATGTGGGTCAGCTACCATATATAAAGTATATATAAGTCTCTGGTTCAATGTTCAATGTTTTTTATGACAAAAATATTTGATCATTATTTTTTATGGAAAGTATTGGAATATTATTTGATAAGTTTCATATCAGTCCACTGTGAAATTGCGTATTAAAATTGTACGATACTGATGTCATAAAAGTTTAGCAATGGACTAGTTAAAACTGCTGATAATGCAGTTACGTTGGATAAATACCTTAACATTAACAATAGTAATTTAAGGGAAATGTTTACTTCATTTCGTTTATGTGAACACAAGCTGGAGCTAGCCATGGGGCGTCTCAAAAGCATACCAAGAGGTCAGAGATTCTGTAAAAAATGTGGTGTTAGAAAATGGAGAACACTTCTTTTTTCACTGTTCCCTTAATGAATCTGCTAGAAAAGAATATTTTGAAAAATGCATTCCTAATCACAATGATGTTACCTTAGACACCAATTATTTGACCTCAATATTATCTACAATATTATCTACAAACAACTCGCAGTTTAAACACTCTCTAGATTTTACTGTGTTTTACTATTTTGCCTTCAAACTACTTTGGTGTTACAAATGTGCAAATAAATATTTTGAATCTTGAAATTTTGAATTTTTAGTTTAAACGGATGAACATTTTTTGACCAATTATTGTATCGACTCTATTAGAACATCGTCAGGCGAAAAAAAACTTTATCCGAAGAAATCCGTAGACTGGCTACCAGCCACTAAGGTTTTTTATGAAGAACTAACTGGTCGCATTTTACTACTAGCTTATCAGACATCCAATTGAGAAAAAAAAAATCATTTGTTTTCTTAATAATTCAATATTTCAGAGACAAGGATTTCCAAGAAATCCGGTTTGGATATTCATCGGGATGTGACAAATAAAATCACGGGGATTTATACAGTTTGTATGTTGTTTTGTTTTCTGCAGTAGTAAGTGGAACTTTTCGGGACAATCATCAGGATTTCAAACAGAAACCGAGAAACCAAACTGATAAGATACAAATTTGCTGACCATCTATCTCCTGATTCTTCTTGTTCATGTGGTCATCCAATTGAAAATTCTGAACACTTCTTCTCCACTTGTCCAAACTACTCTAATTCCAGGAACTTAATCCACAGGGGCGGGTCCAGGTGAGGACGTAATGGGCGTACGCCCCCCCCCCCCCCCCCCCCCCCCCCTTTCAAAAAAAAAAACAAACAAAAAAACCCTATCGTAATCTGCTAATATTGTATTGAATATGGCAATTTATCATATTCATTAATTAAACACATACTCTGATTTCTTTTTATACTGATTCCCCAATCCGATGGGTGATCCGTAGTTTTTTAGCAAAAAAAGGTCCAAAAACGATTTGATTCTACGCCCCCTCTTTCAAATATCCTAGAAACGCCCCTGATCCCTGATATCTATACAAGAGCTGGATACTTAAATGTTCAACTTTTGACATCTGGAAGTACTGACTTACCTTCTGAAATAAATAAACTGATTTTGTCCAATGTTGAAAAGTACATCAATGCATCTAAACGATTAGGATGATGTAACTAAATGTTTAAATTCTATCAAACTATTATATATGGGGTTTTTTTGCATGTATATATAATTAAATGAATTATTTGCTGTAATTAACCTAATTCAATTATAATTGTTGATAGTTGCTTGTCTATTTAGATAATATTGTAAATATCATATAGTGAATGAATATTGACACGAGTGTGTATAGAGAGTGTAAGTAGTTAATTGTATGAATGTATGACTGAGTGTATGAATTTAATTACATTACATGTATATATATAATATCATACTTACACCATCATGGAGAAGATTGATATAGGCCTAGCCTGTTATCTTATCCATTTACATATGTTGATTTATATATATAATAAAATTTGTTCAAAAAAAAAAAAAAAAAAAAAAAANAAAAAAAAAAGATATAGGCGTTATGCTGTACATTGTACGTAACAGACGACGCCGACAGTGAGTGAAACGAGTACTATCTGACGTCATTTAAATGCACTGGTAACTCTTTTTCCACCAAATGTATTCAGTCTACGACTGGAAAAATAATAAACGCACTATGTCAACAATAAAGACACACCAGGAATACAAGGTTTTGAGGAGTTTTCTTAAGAAGTCGCAAATAGAAAAAAAAGTTTCACATAACTATATAATAAAAGTGTCGAAAACGAATGCGCACGTCTTGGAAATCAAAATGACCATTGGATAATATGGTAACAATATTCATATTTGTCAACATATTTTAACAAAACCTGTTTTGAAATTTTTAATGAACTAGAACTAGATCCTGGACATCATAAACTACATGTAGACGGAGGACTCGGTTACGCTTTCCATTTTTTATTTTCGACTTTCTCATTATGAAATGAATGGTAATTCAAACTTATATCTTAATGTATTAAGCTGACAGTGCGTGGTATATTTGGGTTGCCGAGTGCTAAAGTTCGAATGACAACAGAGATCTTCATGAATACATTTTGAAATAACCATTGTATGTATAGATATGTAATATACGTAATGGGGTGGGCGTGCGGCAGACGAAGTTAGCAACCACAACCGTGGAGATAAACAAATGGGAATATAAGCGAGGCCCACATAAGGGTGGAAATAATAATCTACATCAGAGAAATAGGTCTCTGTTTACAATATCAATCCAAAGGTAACCTCATCACATTATAAATGTGTTCAATGAACGGTTATTAACTTGGTTAGGAACAATTTCTAAAATCATAAATGGAAGACATGCAACTACTCGTTATCAGCAACAAAAACATGTATAGTTTAACAATCATAATAATTACAACATGATTAGGAAAGATTTCGCAGGAACTGAAGTGATTGCGTAAATGTAAACGTACTGATCGTAAAGAAACAATTATGTACGGATATTACTTATGTGTAACCTATGATTGAATTCGTGTCTGACAGACTGTGAAGTGCACTGCAGACAAACTGAAAAAAAGTAGAATCCATAAAATCAGAATTTGAAAAGCACTTGATTTTTTTTTTGTATAGCTCACTCCTTATCCTAAGAACGTAAAAGGCATGCCACATTTAGTTTATCTTTTTAGAAGTTGAATTTAAATGCTTAATCTTGAAGATTAATTGGTCGTCGAAAATTGATAAATACACACAATTGAGACTTAATATAACCACGGACTTAGATAGCATCTAATTCCGTGATATAACTTACACTTCATAATCTTTTTCTGTACCAAAATATATAAACACATATATATATGTGCACACTAATTCTGTGGCGTGCCATAGCATACAGGCCTATATATCCAAGTCCGTGGTATTAGTCGTTAGATTTCGTGTCATTTGTAGCAAATGACGCTAAATGCGTCCAATTCAGTTAACGATAAAAGGTCTAATTGATTGACAGGTGCCCGATTATAATTCTCCTAACGCGGGCCTCGTTCTATTATATATAAACTGGCTGCCGAGATTCCACCGTCATGCACGCTATTGACAAGCGCCTTAGCAACCACTCACGTTTACAAACACCGGACGATATAAACATGGCGGATCATTTAGCCGGCTGACTTGTGGGATTTTACATCGCTGCTTATCTTATGCATGTGTGATTAATAACAGACATAAGAATATACCTGGAGTAACGCTAACAAACGTCCAAGATGGCTGAGGAGAACGTGAGAGTTGCCGTTAGGGTTCGGCCATTCATATCCTTTTTATCACAGCGTGTAAACTGACAGTTTGACAGGTGCTGTCAAAACCTAAAACTGTTACGGTATGAAGTGTGCTGTAAAATTGCGATTTTTCAGTGCTGATCCATCTGGTAGTTTATATTATTAACGTTGTATTTGTAATATATTATGTGTATTTAGGACGTAATTTAGCATGCTTCTGTTTTTGCTAACTAAACGTGATCGAACTTTGCTATAGATTCCTGGGGTTGGGGGTTGGGTTGCAATTTTGTAACCCACCCACCCACCCACAACATCACAGCCCACTATCCTTACCCTCTCCTAATTAATGACTATCCAATCACATACCCCCACCCCACCCATCCATATATAGAAATGTAACTTTTTTTGGATTCTGGAATAGAGAAATAAGTCAAAAGACAGGTGCCTGTGCTTCACTTGGCTGTTTGATCGTGATGGATCTTTCCTACAATACTCTGGAGATGAGTGATGTGTTATGACAGATTCCTTCGATATCTTTACCCACAATTGTGGTTGTAAAGGTTAAACATTTCCAGGTGTGTAGTAACAATGGCTCATGTGATTTTGGTATATCATTTATCGTATGTTGATAGTTCCCGTTTATAACCAAAAAAGGCCTTCTATGCCACACTGCATAGACAGACTATAGATTAGGGATGCACCCAGTGTTTGACGATTTCCTGCATCAGTGGCTTTTGTTTACCTGTTTTTATTATTTTCAATGACATTACTCTCCCATTCCCTACCCTAACTCAATCCCCTGAGCAACATGTTGACTTGAACAAACCCTGTATATGTCTCATTGTTATAATAAATTAATTCAATCTCTGGTTGTTCAGAGCCCTGCAGGTGTGGAGTCATCAAAAAGTAATTGACCTCACAAGGCCTGCTTGATAGTTAGTGGCGACTTATACGGAACTCGAGCAGAAATAAACATGCTTGTTTGTGTACACAATATTCTTCCTTTCACTGTAGTACAAAATTTTATCTTATCCCTCTAAAAGTCCTTGTTCCAGCCGTTTATTACATCATTGGCACTTGCAGGAGACAGCAAACTGGCTGACTCTGATCTGATTATCCCATATTGATATTGACGAATGCAATATTACCTTACTAAGATGGCTATGTTAGAATATGATCATACACGATGCCTCTCCACTAATCTTTAATCACCTTTTCCAACCATATATATGTAAAATCTTTGGTTACTTTAAAATCTCCTGTCAGGACCTCCTTGTGCTAAATGCTTTCTCAAAATTGTTTTCAAGTTTAAAGAAGGTCACTGTTAAATAAAAAATCTGCTTCAACAAAAGAATATTTGTTTCCAAACATCCATTTTTTAACAGTTTTTACAATCAGCTTCAAGTCATATAATCCCTTGAGTTTACACAATCTGTGTGAGATTCATAATGCTTAGCAATAGCTAAATTGTAGGTATTGTTTTGAAGTAAACACTGCAATATATCCTTTCTGAAAGACACTCATCGATGCAGTACATCCAGGCATGTGTAGTTTCTTGCTACAGCTAGGTTGACTATAGGAAATTTCAGTCAATCAGAACAGCACTGAGCTAGTAATCTTTAGTCCGGGGTTCGACTCCAGGTAGAGAATTTTTAAACAAATTATTTGGAAAATATACTTATCAAAATTGCTTTTCCTGTAAGGACCTTAATATGTTCTGATCATGGTAAATTTATTAACCTTGCTCTCCCAAACTTGCACTGTGAAGGGCGTGATGACAAGGCTTTGTATGGAGGGTGTTTATAACATGGAGTCACATGTTACTGACATTCCTAGAAAGAATTCTTGTTTGCTGAATTGGCTGAGAATGTAATGTAGCCGGTCTGGTAATCTGCATTTAGTCCTGGGTTTGACTCTGTGTTGGAGGTACATTATGGAAAAGTGAACTTTTGGTTAAGTGACTGGTTTATACATATAAGGATTAAACAGAGTAAGAAAAAAAAATTCATTTCAATGCAAATATTAACATTCTAAATTTAAACTGGTATTATTCATAGTATATTTGCAGTATTGAAGTGCCTGTATAATCAGTGCGAACAATAGTCTTGGCACAGCCTGATGTCACTTAAATGTTTACTTTTAAACACTATGATGCTTACATACTGCGAGGAGATTAAATCATTCACCCCTAAATTTTATAATGAACTATTTCATCCTTTGATTTGGAAGAGTTCAAATGTGTCTTAAGGGGTAAATGAGTTAAACATCAAAATGGTATTAATACCATTGGGTTCATAGCCCTATGAACTGTATTTTCTTCTGGTAATGTTTAAAGAGATTTTCTATGGAAATGTAAATATGAATTTTAACGCATGGTAAAAAAAACCATGATAGACAAGTTGACCAACTCGTGACTAGCTAGACAATAAAACCACTTTGTACTGTTGGCTTCTATTTCATGGAAGCTTTTAAAGGTTTTAACAATTATATTTTCTGTATTGTGCTTGAATATATATTATCAACAATTTTGAATTTATGATTGCCTCTTTTGTGATTTTAAATTGTAAGGTTATTTACAATGCACAACTTTGAATAAAAATGGGGAAACAATAATGTTTTTTTGCAATTTGTTTGAGGTTGGTTTAAACTTTTCTATAAATTGTAATGGGTGTTTGACAGTTGTTACATACAGATCAAAAAAGAAGAATAAAGGATACTCGTGCTAGCACCACTATCACAGTTTGGTAATTTTTACTTACGTCTAAACGTATCATGTTCTTGGGACACAATAATAATGTGGCTAAGGTCTCATATATAAGAACCACTATCACAGTTTTGTAATTATCTCATATATAAGAAACTGCGACCAAATTACATATACCGGTACTAGTGGATTTACATTGTGGTAAGATTATATTGTGGTGTCGCAATGATTGTGATGCTATGTCTAATGACATTTTGAGTCAACCATTGTTGTGAGTGGAAAATTTCCTAGAGTTCACATTTAATAGGTTCTGAAAATACGTGATGAATGTCTAGTACTAGAATAGCTACATGTAGAATTCAACAGGCTCATCTTTGGTACAAATCAATAATTACTAGGCTTTCTCGGTATTCCCCGTTTTATTTAACGTTTTTCTCGGCCATTTTTTTTTTTTGAATGTCTTGCTTTCCTTAACACTGCTTACAACTCTCGGGAAAGAACTCTAAATTCAACACTCATCATTGATATGAATGGCAACACCACACAGATAACAGACCCTTCAGGATCAGACGAGCCCCGCAAATTTACTTTTGACTTCAGCTACTGGTCTCATGATGGCTGCAAGGAAAACAACGGCTATTACGAACCTGATCCATCACAACCAAATGGCAAAAAGTTCGCTGATCAGGTATGCAAAAAGAAGTAATTGTATCTTGAGTTTTCTTGACTAGAGATATTTATTTGGGTAACCAAAGTTAGATTTTTTTTTTTCAAAAGACGCAATAACTACTGGATGTCTTTTAAAATAATAATAAGCAATCATCGCATGCTTATAAAGGACTTGCATTCTCCTAAAGTATTCATATCTTCTTTGGAAATCCTATTTACATGATTTAATAAAGCTTTTACAGAAAATATATCGGGAGGTTTGAAACATGATGTATGTTACAGTGACAAATATCCATAGAACATTTGATAGGGCATCACAAGGCTTTGTCAGTGACATTTCGTCCAAAGTTCATACAAAGGTCATGACCTGTATATCATCCAATGAATAAAACCCCAACTATAGCAGTACATATGTACTTATGGGAGAAATTATTACTAAATTGCATTATAAACCTTTGCCATGTATCAGCATTCTCTGGTTTTCTGACTTTGGTGGAATCATGAATTAAAAAACTATAGAACTCAAAGTTTACACATACAACATCAACCAAAAAGGTTTTCAGGTTTGAAACAGCACAAGAGCTGTAACCTACAAGTGTTTTGGAGTATTCTATGTTTTTAACTCTAAAATTGTTGTGGCAAAGCTAGACTAGTAGCTGCAAAAAGACACTTGTTGCTTTTGTTCTGACTCGTCTCAAACATTTGATAGCCCCCTTCAATTAAAATTTATATCACAATTCTTATGTCATAATGAAATATTTATTTCACATCTAATAAAGGCAAAGTCATTGCAACAGCTAACGTAACTATCAACGCGTAGTAGGCTAACACGAATATAAACTCTTATAAAACTGCAAAAATGGTGGTAATGTTTACCACTGAGGAGGGTTGCTATACAGAAGGCGAATGCAACGCAGTATATCTTCATGTTATATACTTAGTAACCCCGTCAGAATTATTTTTGGAAATTAAAGATCAAATGTCACTGACACAGGGTCAAACCTGTCATACTTCATCAGAACATTTGACAAATTTGACGTTCAAGGTCCTAGTCTAATTCAATTATTTTGAGTGTAATGTAAAACATTAAAATAAATTGATTTTTAAGTTGTGAAGAATTATCAAATTGATTTCGAAGCATGAACTCTTTTGTGTTAATTTTATTCTTAATTGTGGTACAATGTTGGTTTCAGAAAAGCGTGTATAATGATTTGGGAGTGGGTGTGTTGGAGAATGCCTGGGGAGGATACAACTCAACACTGTTTGCCTATGGACAGACAGGATCAGGGAAAAGTTGGTCCATGGTTGGGTATGGCGTAAACAAAGGTGAGTGTATGTTTTCTCTTGCTACTTCACACTACTGCTGGGGTGGGGGGGTGNATTCAACTGTGGATACTCTTCGTATGAATTTAAGTGGAGAAATGAAGGGTCATTTTTGTGATTTTCAATGCATGATAATTCAACTCTTAACCCTTTCACCCCTATGTAACTTTAGTGGACTCTCCCATGCATTGATCTGGATTAGTCCATTATGGTCTACAGTGGTGAAAGGGTTAAGTGAACATGTGAATTCAGAAGGCACATATCACATTACAGACACAATCGTGTAATATCGCACAGATCTTTTTGTACACATAATAACATTAACTGTGTGACACCAGAACTGTATACAACATTCGTATGTTGTGTGTAATCTAATCTAACTCTGTGGTGTAATGGAGGCGTTGTCTGTATGAACTCTACCCCTCCTCAACTTGAACTTATGTTTCTTGTTCTCTGACCCAAACGATGTTGAAGGGCAGCATACAAATAATTTTGTTCCTCCATGCATGCCTTTGTGCACTGTTTTCAGGCAATAACTGCACACTTCAACCATATTTAAACCATAATTATCTGTATAACCTGTGTTGCAAATAATTTTTTTTAAAAAAATGTGTAATTGATATCATAAATCAGAAAAATATGTTTTTATGCAGTCACTATATGTGGTGATGACGATGGAATTTCAGCAGGTTGACGAGTACATATGTATAACCTCGTTATGTTTTAATTACAGGAGTCGTACCGCTGTTCTGTGACAACATCTTCCAGCAGATAACCGAGAAGAAAAATAGTGGCGATAAAACAGAATTTGAGGTACAAATTCATCGGTTATAATTGTCCTGTGTGTTTTGTGATGAGAAGATAGTTGTGATTTTTGGGGTGCATAAATACTTAAAGAGGGCTCTTTGACCTTCGATCTGTCTGGGTAAAGTATCAAAGATTTCCTTCATACATATTTCCATTTTTATAGAGGATTTTGTGTAATATATGCACTGTTTGAGCCATACATCGTTCTCACAACAATGCTGAGGCTGTTTACTGTATGTAACAAAACTAGACAGCCTGATCTCCACTTCATTTACCTCACACTGGTCAATGTGATCACAGTGTGGTCAAAAGTCAATTAAGTGTTGTCTTATCGGTGTCCTACCCATCCTCAAAACTCCGGGGGTTACCAACATGTCAAAGCAAAATTGAAAGCAGGAAGGTAGCTGTTTGATTGGTCTCCGAAAGTAGCTGTTGATTGGTCTCCGGTAAAACCTGACCGCGCGATTCTTTTGATGTACATCAAAGGATCAAACTAGTCTTCTTGTCATATCAACAAGGTGGCTCACACTGAGCCTTCAATTTTGTCATAACATATGCCAGAGAGCGAAAGTGAGCATAAATTAAACCCTGGAATATAAAGGATGTTTCCTACCGAAGTCATATAGAAACTGGGTATGGTATTTAAGGTAAACGATTAAAGTCAGGGTATCACATTCATGGCCGTTATGTTCTACAATTGTTTGTGACCAGCACCTGTAATTTTGTGAAGATTTCTTGTTCATTCGATCTAATACAAGCCTATAAGGTAAACACATGTTCTTCCGTCTCTCAGGTAACCTTCAGTATGCTGGAAATCTACAACGAACAGGTCCGAGATTTACTGACCAATTCATCAGCTCGTGGAGGACTAAAAGTCAGACAGCACCCCAAACAGGGCTTCTACGGTAAGTTGCTGATCACTTTTTATTGTCATTACAACACAGCTTACCTGTGTGCAGTATTTCCACTGTGATAATTTATACGGGATGAATACCAAACTAATATTGATGTGTCTTCTCTCAGCGATAATCTTTAACTAACCCGTTCACCACTGTAGACCATAATGGACTCGTCCAGATCAATGCATGGTAGAGTCTACTAAAGTTACATAGGGGTGAAAATCCAGACATGTTTATATCTGTTAATCCTGAATCTCCAAAGGGAAGGGTAGGGGTCGTAACCATTGTTATAAAGAGGTTTTCAGAATGAATCTTTATCACAGAGGTATTTTTCTAAATACTCATTTAAAAAAAACACTTTCTTATTTATATAAGTAATTGGACCAGCAGCTCCAATTACCAAAACTGTCAAACAAAACTGTTTTTTTAATTAGAGGTATACATGTAGGCGTATAGGGACCATCTCCCTTAAAGCTGGGCTGGATGGATAGTTTTATTTTTATAAATTTATATTTTGGCAATCCATGATATACCAGAAGATTTTGCTTGGTGTCAAAGTTACATAATTATTATGTCTCTAGAAGCATATTGTGAAAAATGTCAATTCATTAGGATGTTGGTCAAACTATTTTTGTTTGATCGAAAGTGTTAAAGTACCCATGCATGGTACCTCGGTATCTTGCCTATGTGTACTGAGAGATGTGTCCATAATTGGTAATTATACACATACATTTATCACATAATTTGTTAACATTATGTAAACATGATGCGTGCAAAACTTGACAAACGTATCAGGTTTCTTCATGAATATAATATCCAAGACTAAAAGGTTGTTGATATGGTGCATTACATTTATGACAACTTTTGATCTTTATACAGCCAAAAGGTTGTTGATACATAGTGCATTACATTTATCACAACTTTTGATCTAAAGCCAAAAGGTTGTTGACATAGTGCATTACATTTATGACAGCTTTTGATCTACAGCCAAAAGGTTGTTGATATAGTGCATTACATTAATGACAACTTTTGATCTACAGCCAAAAGGTTGTTGATATATAGTGCATTACATTTATGACAACTTTTGATCTACAGCCAAAAGTTTGTTGATATAGTGTATTACATTTATGACAACTTTTGATCTACAGCCAAAAGGTTGTTGATGGTGCATCATATTGATGATAAACTCTGATTCACAGCTGATGGCCTGAAGGTTGTGCCTGTGAACAGCTATGATGAGATCTCCAAGAAGATGGCAGAAGGCACCACCAACAGGACTGTGGCCTCTACTAACATGAATGCAACCAGCAGGTAAGTCAAGCTAGGATACACATCAATGACAGATTAAGGGTGTACGCTACCTAAATGTGACATGCATCCCTGTTCTAAAAGAATTCCACTCTAAGAAATGTGTATAAACATGTATTTTAAAGGTTAACAAAAATGAAGGTGAGCTCTGGGTATACTGAATTATAAAATTATGCATATTTGCCCAAATAGGGGAGATAACTTCAGCACAAATCAAAGATTTATTTTGTAAGGTAGCATATGTCCTTAATTTTCTTCTTTGATGAATTTAGGTCTGAAGGAAATTTCTTTATAATCACATGAATACAAGAAGCCAGAAATACCTTTATTTTTTAAATACATATACCTTATTTAACAGAATAATATGGATGCTAGGCACATGTGGGAGGGGGGAGGTTTTTTTTTAATTAGAAACCTTTTTTCTCAAACAAAATTGTATTTTGGCTATTTTACCTTCTTGCAATGACATGAAGCTCTCTTTTTCCAACCCTCTGCTGATTTCCCCATTAATAAAGTAATTTATTATTTCAAAAGATTGCATTTGTCACTGTTTTAGCACTAATCAGTGTTCACCGACATTGGTATCATACACAGCCATATTAGTGATGGGTATTGATTCATTCACAAAACCAAGGGACAGCTGGGTGTTATTGTGTTTACAAATATCTGTGTAAGTGTGTCTAGGTATATGTGATCACTCACCTGTAACCAATAAAGATAGAACGGAGAGATCAATATATGTGTCTTCACTGACTCTCTCTATATATAACCAGTTTAATGTCCTAGTGTAGCCAATTTACGGGAGCCATTATCTAGGCCTACTATAAAATGTAAAGGTTGGAAGTTCATTCTCTTGTACAATATAAATCTCAACACGCTGCCACCATTTGTCTTGTCAAATATTGATGTTAATACAAGGTGGCAATGAAAAGAATGGCATTATATCAAAATTTCAATGTCAAATTTCAAAACTGAAGTATGTTTATATTCAAATGAACTTACAGTGAACACCTTATGTTATGACAACAAAAAACAATTAATTAGGTCATTACAGGTGACAATGTATTAAGTCACTACAAAGGACAACTAATTAGGTCTGTACAGAGGACAATGTATTAATTAAGTCACTACACAGAACAACACTGCACGGATGTACATAGTCACCCTTGACGTGATGACCATACATGCTTTTTGTCGAGTAAAACATTGAAGTTGAAGTTGAAACAAATTCTGTATCTACAGAGGACAATGTATTAAGTCACTACAAAGGACAACTAATTAGATCTCTACAGAGGACAATGCATTAAGTCACTACAAAGAACAACTAATTATGTCATTACAGATGACAATGTATTTAGTCACTAAAAAGAACAATTAGTAAGGTCATTACAGATGAAAATGTATTAATTAAGTCACTATACATTGACATCTGAAATGACCTAATTAGGTGTTCTGTGTAGTGACTTAAAGTCACTACACAGAACAATTAGTAAGGTCATTACAGATGACAATGTATTAAGTCACTACACAGAACAACTAATTAGGTCATTTCAGATGTCAATGTATTAAGTCACTATACAGAACAACTAATTAGGTCATTACAGAGGACATTGTATTAAGTCACTAAACAGAACAACTAATTAGGTCATTACAGATTACAATGTATTAAGTCGCTACACAGAACAACTAATTAGGTCATTACATATGACAATGTATTAAGTCACTACACAGAACCACTAATTAGGTCATTACAGATTACAATGTGTTTAGTCACTACACAGAACAATTAGTAAGTCATTACAGATGACAATGTATTAATTAAGTCACTATACAGAACAAGTAATTAGGTCATTACAGAGGACAATGTATTAAGTCGCTACACAGAACAACTAATTAGGTCATTACATATGACAATGTATTAAGTCACTACACAGAACAACTAATTAGGTCATTACAGATTACAATGTATTTAGTCACTACACAGAACAATTAGTAAGGTCATTACAGATGACAATGTATTAATTAAGTCACTATACAGAACAACTAATTAGGTCATTACAGAGGACATTGTATTAAGTCACTAAACAGAACAACTAATTAGGTCATTACAGATTACAGTGTATTAAGTCACTACACAGAACAACTAATTAGGTCATTACAGAGGACAATGTATTAAGTCACTACACAGAACAACTAATTCGGTCATTACAGATTACAATGTATTAAGTCACTACACATAACAACTAATTAGGTCATTACAGATGACAATGTATTAAGTCACTACACAGAACAACTAATTAGGTCATTATTGATGATAATGTATTAAGTCACTACACAGAACAACTAATTAGGTCATTACAGATGACAATGTATTTAGTCACTACACAGAACAATTAATTAGGTCATTACAGATGACAATGTATTAAGTCACTACACAGAACAACTAATTAGGTCATTACAGATGACAATGTATTAATTAAGTCACTACACAGAACAACAAATTTGGTCTCTACAGAGGACAATGTATTAAGTCACTACAAAGGACAACTAATTAGGGCATTACAGATTACAATGTATTGAGTCACTACACAGAACAACGAATTAGGTCATTACAGATTACAATGTATTAAGTCACTACACAGAACAATTAGTAAGGTCATTACAGATGACAATGTATTAAGTCACTACACAGAACAACTAATTAGGTCATTACAGATTACAATGTATTAAGTCACTACACAGAACAATTAGTAAGGTCATTACAGATGACAATGTATTAAGTCACTACAAAGGACAACTAATTAGGTCTCTACAGAGGAAAATGTATTAAGTCACTACAAAGGACAACTAATTAGGTCATTACAGATTACAATGTATTAAGTCACTACACAGAACAACTAATTAGGTCATTACAGAGGACAGTTAATTTGGTCACTACAAAGAACAACTAATTAGGTCACTACAGAGGACAGTTAATTCGGTCACTACAAAGAACAACTAATTAGGTCACTACAAAGGACAACTAATTAGGTCTCTACAGAGGACAGTTAATTAGGTCTCTACAGAGGACGGTTAATTAGGTCACTACAGAGGACAGTTCATTAGGTCTCTACAGAGGACAGTTAATTACGTCTCTACAGAGGACAGTTAATTAGGTCTCTACAGAGGACAGATAATTAGGTCACTACAGAGGACAGTTCATTAGGTCTCTACAGAGGACAGTTAATTATGTCTCTACAGAGGACAGTTAATTAGGCCATAAGTCACTACACAGAACAACTAATTAGGTCATTACAGATTACAATGTATTAAGTCACTACACAGAACAACTAATTAGGTCATTACAGAGGACAGTTAATTTGGTCACTACAAAGAACAACTAATTAGGTCACTACAGAGGACAGTTAATTAGGTCTCTACAGAGGACAGTTAAGTAGGCCACTCTTGACAACTTTGTGATTCATTACAGAGGATAACATGCTAGGTCATTTTGTTCTGCATCTGTGGAGGTACTCAACAGCAAGAGATTTGGTAACAAATATTAGAAATAATTAGAATGTTAGTACTTAGGGAGTTAAATGATGTATCCTGCAACACAGAATAAACCTTTAAAACAGATATTGCTGCAAAATATGTATGTGTCACATATTTTTATTTTTATTTTACCCTAATCTTGATACCTGTTGAGTGTGTTGGGTGTGAAGTATGGTAATATCACTCCTGTTAGGTTTGGTAATGGTTATAGTTGTCTTGCTTCCTGACACTGGGCCAGTACATTAATATACAATTAAGTAGCCATGGACTGCAGGAAAACAGTATTGAAGGTCTGTTATTGAGATTTAAGCTACACATAATATGTTGAAAGAAAGCAAGGCAAAATTTCGATATTACAAAATTATAAAGCCGACATATTTTGCTTATTAGAATTGATCAGTGTCCTTGTGTATATGATGAATGGAGAAAGGCATTAGGCCAGGTATTCAATATGGCCAGCCCTTTCACTCTCGCCGGCCCCGCTACACTGGCAGCACCGTCACGCCTGCCTAACGTCTCCTACAGGAATTGTTTGGCTGCCATGGCAGTATCCAAATATTTGGTACCCTGGCTCACGTCATTCATTACGTCCATGTACTCTACAAAAACCTAATACACAGATAATCTGAGGGCTTTTTATTTACATTTCTCCTTTAGACAGCACTTTAAATGGATGGAAATCTATTTTATGCCCATGTGTGCGTCATTGTAGGTATATTATATTTTGTCCATGAGATCAGCTGTTTGGAATATGATCCTGCAGTACTTGTGTATTGTACTATTGAATATTACCGTAATAATATGTCAAACTGTAATTATAGAATGAATAGAAACCACACTTGGTTAAACTGTTACCAGGAGTGTAACAAAAAATTCTGTACCAAGTTCTTTTAACTCTCCATTAAAATTTTTGTTCATCTGAAGTCTAATGTATATTTGCCACTTTTAAATAATTAAACAGCAGAAGACACCACTGTGGGCTGTTAGGTATTTGTACAGTACTGCCTGACTGTAAGCACTGGTTATATTTCAGTGCACAGCTGATTGTCGTGGTTGGAAAATTTGGAATGGATGGGTGTTGTTAGGGTTGATGGTTGTAAATATAGATTATAATAAAGCAAGATCACTGTGTTAGCCATCTTGAATTGTACGCTGGTAGCTACTAGTATAGGTCAGAATACTCCAGTGTATTGTAATATTGACATAGGTAATCTGATGTCAGTCACTCCTGATCTGTTTCTATTTTCGCTCTTGTTTACAGATGGAGTGGGGCTATGATTCATGTTACTGTTTAATACATCCAGTTGAGTACATTTAAACACAATAGATTTTCAGATTTTATTCCCATAAAGATGAACTGATCATTAAACTATGTAATCAAGGTATATTTTCCAAGTGTCTCTGCTAGAAGTCGAACCTGGACTATTCATTTGACTAAATCCAGTAGGTATATACTGCTATCCTCTATCAGAGTCACAGCATGGGACTCAAGCTGGTCCCCTACCTACTGTGACACACATGTACAATTTTCATGCATGCATACTTAGTTTTGCAGCTTTTTTTTCTGTAACATTTCACTTGATGTGTAACTCACACAGCGTCTTAAGTTGGGAACGTATTACAGGTCCCATGGCACATCAAGATCAATATTTAACATAAAATTTACACAAAAACAAAGTATTCTCATGTGATACATAAAAAAATCAAGTTATTAAGGCCAGTGTTCTGTAATAACTTTCTCACTCACAGATTGAATATTTCCAATAGCTCTCTCCAAAGGCACTAGAAGTGATCTTTCTCAAATTGTATGTGCAGATACAGGATGGCCACTAGACAGCGTGATCTTGAATTATGACAGTTCAATGTTGTTATCACTATTTCTCAAGAAATAGCAGACAGATCTTTATCTGACTTTATGTGTTTAATTTCATCCTAAATTTTGCTCGTTTTATTTTGAAGCTGATCAGAAAACAAAATGGTTGCCAGACAGCCATCTTGGATTTTGACAGCTCCAGTTTGTTATCACTATTTCCCAAGAAATACTACAGAACTTTCTCAACTATCGGTACCCTTTGTTACTCATTAAGTACTGTGCCAGTAAAAAGGTCAAACAATAACCTTACTTCCGAAAGAACAATATCAAACACAGCAGTATGAAACGGTATGGTGAAAAATTACCACAAGGTGCATTTACAAATGACTTCTCTCAATCCTACAGAAAAAGGAATAGAAGAGAAAAGATCAATCTTACTTTGAACCTATTAAATGGTATGATGGTGGGCACCAAGATCCTTCTGGGACCTGTTGTTTATCAATAAAGAACTGCTGTTAATCATTATTGAAATATTATTTGGCTTGGTATGAAAGACACTGTCCAGGAAACTTACTGACATTGAACGCAATATCCTAGTTCTGTAAATACAAATCTCACATATTTCTTGATTGAAGTTTTAATAAAACATTGATTTTGTTTTTAATCCTAAACACACAAACACATAAATGTTAATATTTTATGGTATCTGGAGTCATCAAAGTATATGCAAATCTGTACAAAATCTTTTTGCAGAATTTCCTGCATTTCGAAACTCTTGACTGCATCAAAAAAAATAAAGAGTTCTCAGTTTACTTCAGAATTTTAAAGTTAATTTCATTGCTATGCATGACTGTAGCCTGTGAGGGTAATTGGTCATACCCTCAATTTCCTATTAATTATCTTTTGGCGATTTGTTCCACCCAGTCAATCAGTAAGGCTATAGCCAATGATATGACTATACATTCAACCGTTTTCTAAAGAGATCGAGTGAACACAATCAGTGATAGTTTTGTTTGTCAAATGAAAGCAAGTTGTGGAAGCTAGGATGCAAGCCGAAGATTTCAATTGTAAATTACATAAGAGGTCCCCATAAGGCATTGAATGTTCAAGCTCTTTCAGTAGGCTTCTGTATTCTTGGGGAGTCTTCTCCAATATATCCGTCTCTGTTATAAACTTGTACATCTCCTATTGTTGTTAATGTTCCTTGTAACCCTGAATGGTCAGAGTTGGATCACCTATCAAGCTAGTCATCATGTAGCTTACCCGGAGTCCTCCATCCTTCTGGATGTATAACAAATACATTTAAACTAGGTGTAGAAGTCGGAACATCGTGAACAAGCCCAGTGTTCAGGCAAAACCATTAGACATTTCCTAATAATATCCCGAGCTTGTTGCTATAGACTTCTATACTTACAGCGTTGGCTCTACGCCTGGAACTAAATAAATTTAAACAGTTAATTGCAACGGTTTCTTGTTTTTAAAGTAAACTTTTTCTGTTTGTCTTTCAGTCGTGCTCACACAATCGTTGGGATCACATTTCAACAGATATTTATCAATCCTGCTGGGGAAAAAACTACCAAAGCAGCTGTTGTCAATCTTGTGGATCTGGCTGGCAGGTAAATTCAACAACTCATTCCCTTTGCTGCCATTTTTAGTCATTTCACAATGAGTAAGCAGAAAATTCGATCAATGAATGTTTTTTGTTTTTGATTTTTTCCGTTTGTAACATTTATTCATCTTATATTCTTTTATTTATCTATTAATGATGTAATTTTTCTGTAATTTCCAAGATGGAGAAGGGAAAGTTTACAGAATATTTCTGTTTTATTAATCCATAATCCTACCATTGCTGCTTTCTGTAATTTCTGCATTAGAAAGAGGACATTATGATTAACGTTTCTGTTTTTCTCCTCGTCTGATGATGTATCTAAATTCTTTTTCTGTGTACTTCCTCAGTGAGCGAGCTGAGAGCACTGGAGCTACAGGGGATCGTCTTAAGGAAGGCGCCGCTATCAACCAGTCCTTGTCATGCCTCGGCAACTGTATTGCAGCCCTGGCAGAAAAATCCTCGGGAAAGAACTGCCGAGGTACATGTCCAAAATGATAAATCTTGTGCCACTCTGCTTATCACTGCCATTGACGCTGTTTCTTTGTAAATTTTCGTTATTAAAGCATGTAATTAATAAGGATCATGAGTGCATGGTAAGGTATTGTCATTCCTTGTTGTTGTTCTATTTGGCAGTGCCTTACAGAGATTCCGTCCTGACCAAACTGCTCAAGAATGCCCTGGGCGGCAACAGTAAGACCATCATGGTAAGTCATACTGTCACTCAATGTCATATTGCAGAATCATTTGGGTATTTTAAAATTAATAATCACAATTAAAAAAGATAATGTAGTAGAATTACCATACTTGCCAACTCCTATTTAGGAAGAAGACTCCAGATTTTGGACCTTAAAATTGAGCATTTTCAACCAGTGAATTTGCTAAATTACTTCTATTTTCTAAGATCTGTTGGTTTTGTAAGATCTGAAAGAACAGCTCTAAATTGGAAGAGTGGAGAAAACGCATAATTTTAAATGAAATTCTCAAGCTGGAGATTCCTGAATCCTAGCCCCGCTAGATCTGCCATGATGTATGGTGATTGGTTTCTATCGGGATATTTAAACATTTTGTCAAATACAGTTACAAAATGTTCTGGTGAGATTTTAGGAATGCTAAACTGTTAGAGTATTTATCTACAGATTGCTGCTCTGAGCCCCGCTGATGTGAACTTTGATGAGACTCTATCGACACTCCGATATGGTGAGTCTCGATTGTCCCAAACACCAGTGCCTTGATAAATGATTTCACTAAAATATATACCCGTTATTGTTTCGCTGAAATGAAGTTACACTAATCATTTTGGTAGTAAGAGTTTCAATCTTCAGTGCTCTGAACAGAATTGAAATACATTCAAAGTCCTTCAAAAATAAACTTGCATACTTTTTATGCTATTTTGAAAGTGCTGAATTTTGATATTATATATCTGCTTTGATTATAAAACCACAATATTTCTGAGGCGACATTAATTGTTGTCTGAAAAGCTGAATGGGTGTGTTTCTGAGTATTTTAGGTTTTTCTGTCGTCCTTTGTTTGGAATAAGTATATGGCATATCACAGCAACTAGTAATCAACTTTCCTCTTTCCATGTCTAACCTCCAATTTTTGGTTTAAGAATATAAATACAATGTTATTCCCATTATATATAGTGTATATATCATTTCAAATGTTAGAACCATATTTTAAAAAAAAGATGGAAAAGAAAATGTCTAGAATTCATTGGGAATGGGACTGAAGTTCGACCCAGAAATACATATGGGTGGAGAAAATCCCGCTGGATTCTGATCAATACTTCAAATTGCCATTGTCTGCCTTTTCTTAACAGCTGATCGTGCCAAACAGATCAAAACCACGGCTTCTGTAAACGAGAGCCCTACAGACAAGCTGATCAGAGAGCTTCAAGAGGAAAATGAGAAGCTCAAGTTGATGATCGAGTCCGGGAACTACGAGATGATCAAACAAGATGACGACGATGATGATTTGACAGATGAAGGTAACTAGTACGCTGGCTATTCCTCTTGTCTTGGGAAGTCATATTTTTTATCATCTCTTGAATAGTTAACAGATTTTCACAAGATTACTTCATGTTACTGCTGTTGTTTCAAGAAATCTTCAGAAACCATGATCCATATTTTACTCTTTTTTGTTTAGCTATTCTGTAATTTACAGCTGTAAAAGTTGTCCAAATTAGGGTAAAGTAATACCCATGAAAAGCCAGAGTATTATGTTATATACAGGACCTTGTGACCTTTTGAAAGAATGTTTTGAGATTTTTTCTATGTGGTAAGAAACATATGAACAGAATTATATGGTAAAATGAAAATTCTACATTAAATCTAACAAGTTATTTTGAACCTCATCACATATTTTGAACAAAATATGGACGAAGGGAGACAATTCCTACAATAACTTGGTAACAAAAATAAGAACCTGGCCTTATCCTTAGCTATTCGAGCGAAATAACCATACTTTTCCCGATCAGTAAAAAACAAATGTAGGTCTTTCTTATAACATTGCAATATTTTGATATGCTTTCTGCACTTAAAAAAAGAAAGAAATTCTTTGAAAGTACATTTGAAAAAGTTATTGTTGCGATTAAGTTGTCATAATCATTTACAATAGATTTTTTAGGATTAATTTTATGGTATTATTAACTCATCAACCCCTGAAAGTTTGTTATGAACTTTTCCAATCTTTGAATTGTTACATGCGGTTCAAAAGTGTCTTCAGGGGTGAATTAGTTAATTGCCGTCAAGAATATTTCCTCACGGTAAAACACCTTGAAGAGTCCATAAATAAATGTCCACTTTGAAAGAGAGCATCTTCTAAATGGTGTCCATGTGTTGTTTACAGAAAAGAAGAAAGAGAAGGAAGATCGTGAGTCAGAGTACGCCAGTATGCTGGAGAAAAATAAGCACGAGATGGAGGAGATGAAGAAGACGTTTGAGGAGAGACTGGCAGAGCGTGGGGATTCTGTAAGTTACTTATACACACTCATTCATTGATCAATCAAAAATGTGTTCACGACTAACTGGACCTTAACTGTTTCCCTCGTTGTGATATGCACCAGCCTGACCAGTATATCTGTCCTCAGTTTATAACTAGGAATGGTTGATATTGGTGAAGCGATGAAGTTAAAACCTGGTAGTCCTTCCTTACGTATGCTATACAAAACTTGCAGTGAGTAACAGCATATATAGGTAATTTACTGGAGTTGTAAGACAGGGTAGATATTGAAGATAGTAATCATTAACAATGGTCATTGAATTATGCCTATTTGTTGTTGAACAGCTAGTACTATTGAATCTTAAGGTAGAGATAGAGCCCTGGTACCGGTGTAGCATGGTATTGTGAAGCATGGTGAAACCGCAGTTCATTTCAACATTGGCTTCATATTACCATACTACATCGGTATCAGTAGACTGATGTGTTTAGCTAGACTTTATGAATCTTTTCTCATTGTTGTCTTTTTTATGACCAGCAGCTTTTAGAACTTTGGTAGACATTCAGCTTAGCTATTCTGGCCCCACATCTGGGCCTTCACTCGAGGGCCCCACTTTCAATTTGCCCTTCTGATCAGTTTGCCCAGGTTAAGGCCATATTCGATAGACTGTCAACTATATATACACAGGAATTGATTTTAAGTCTACATACAGCCTATACACTACCTTTAAAACACCCTCTATGGATTAATTTGTAGCTGATTTGATGTCCAGTCATCAGAAAGTGACAGCTATAGGTACTTTGATAAAATACCAGTGTTAGAATGCCAACTGTTTTGTTGGAGAATCTTGGTAGACAATTGGCCTCATGCTGTAACCTTGACTTTAGGGGACAGACTTCAATGCTGTTGATGAGAAGAAGAAGACCACACCCCACCTTTACAACCTGAACCAGGACCCTCAGCTGTCGGGGAGGATAGTACACTTCCTGGAGGGGGAGAACATCACCATTGGCAGCTGTGCTGCGGAGGGGGACGTCAACATCAGGATTGTAGGCCCCAGGTAGGCTCAGGAACGATACAGTTGTTTTAGAAATATACCAATTTCTAGGAAGGAGCAACGTTTTTGTTTTTTGGATTTTAAATTGGCATATAAGAAAGAATGAAGCAGCTTCTTCATAGAAAAAATCCTGTACAATACATTTGTTTATTATAATAACATTTATTTTAATAACAAATGACACATTTTCTTTTATTGAGTCCCGATATGTTTATGAAACACTGCTGTTGAGGAGGTATAAGACCAGGCATTTGCACAATACCATGCTTATCAATTTGTTTTTTGTCAGTCAATTAAGCTTGTGATTGGTAATTTTAGAGTAAGATAAGCCCTCTTTAATCAAGAAAGGTTTTAAGTGTTATACATGTGTATGTAAACCATCTTACATATTCTCTGTAGAGCTACAAACTCAGAAACTATCTTTGGTTCCTCTCTATATATCTACACCATCACAAGGATAACCTGATTGCTTTCTGTTGTAATACTTCAGAACATAGTATAGGTAAGCTTACAGAGTTTGTTCTCCCTATAGGTGTCAGATGGAAGCAAATTAATCATGTATTGCGTCCCTTAAAACTTGTACATATTTGAAAATAGGATACTTCCTTGTTTTCAGCATTCATCCAAAACATGCATCCTTCAGCATGGCTGAGAACAAATGGAGCATCGAGCCAGCAGCCCCACACAGCCGAATTCTCCACAACGGAAAAGGCGTCGGCAACAAGGAAGACTTGGTTCATAATGACAGGTCTGGGTTTAACGCTTATCTTACTATTACTTTAGGAGTCACTGTAGTCTAGTGAAGGACACAGGGCTCGTGACCTAAGGGTTGCGTGTCCGAGTCAGGTCACAACACTGTGTTGAATCACTGAACAAGATACCTTACTCTGCTTGTTCCAGTCTACTCAGCTGTAAATGAGTATGTGGTCGGACAGTGCTGGATTTGTTGAATGCTATAGCTGTGAGCGACCTGATAATAATTTGTGAACCGCTATTTGGTGACCTATGAACTAGGTTGTGATAAAGCTGTATATAAGAACCTCAAGTTATTACCCTTATTATTACTTGTGTTCATCTACTTCCAGCTCTGTTTGTCCAAATCATAGCCATCAGATATTCCATTCATCTTTGCAATAATGTTTAAACAAAAATGGCATTTTTCCTTTTGGTGAAACTACTATTTGTTTTATTAGGGTATCTAGACTTCTGGCCTCAGATTTATACAAGGAGGTCTTTGCTGTGTTGCGGAGAGCAACAATATTGTCAGAACATTTCTTATCATGTTTATGCATTGAAATGTGTACAAATACAAAGCAAATCTAAGCAGAGTCACCTTTGCATGTAATTTTCAATTTCAGACTCTATAGAACTGTAATATGTTTGTACAACCGTAAAGTTATATCATTTTGGATGTCTTTTTTACAGACTCCAGTTTGGAACAACTCAGTTCTTCGTGTATTGTAATCCTAAAGAGCGTGATAGTTCCAAAATCAACTACCCAGACATTTCTTACGATGACGCTCAGCAGGAAGTCGCTCGCAAATCTGGACTCGGCATGGACAAGGAGGCCAAATCCAGAGGTAACGAAAACCTACTTTCAACATTTGTTTTATGCATGTTATGTTGTGTCTTTTAAATAACACAAAAGGCTTATTTGTCAGTATAAGACCTCATAAAGAAACATACAAGAAGAAAAATATCTACTTTTCTTTGTTGAACGGCATGGAACATTTCCTGCTGTAAGTTGAGATCTAAAGTGAAGTGTCTACATTGATATTAAATTTACATAAACACTATCATAAAGATCTTTTTTTTAATTTTTTTTCCCAAAAGACGAGGCATTACTACAGGAGGAGATGGTGAAGGCTGTGCCCGCAGTACAACAAGCTAACTCCATCAGTGAAGAGCTCGACAAGAAACTCAAGTTTGAGCTTATCGTTGTGTCACCTGAAGGACGTGGCGAAACAAAGGGACGAAGCATCGTCATGGTGAAGGTGACCCACCTAGAGACAAAGTTTGAGTGGATGTGGCCATTCCAGAAACTTCTAAACAGAATGTATGTTATGCAGGAGATGTACGATGAACTTCTAGAGGGCGAGAATGTCAAGAGGACTGAGGTCAGTACACAGAATTATCTCCCTTCTGGAGAAGTCTACAATGATTCCCTTAGAATTAAATTGCCATTACATTTGTACGTTGTTCAAATCTTTTTGTCATATATGTCAAAGACCATGTGAACTGATGACGTGGCACTGTGTTCATAATCCTGTGTTTCAAATTATAAAAAAGACAACTTAGCTGAATAATACTGTAGAGTTTATTATCCCCTTGTAACAAAAGTTGAAACAGAACCTTGAAATGCATAGTGGGGGCTAAGCCATTATAAAAAATAACATTTAAGACTTCTTCTGAAGACTGGCCTAAAAATAGCCTGAAGTATATTTGTTTGTAGCACTCCTTTATCCTTGTTGATCAATGTTATATAAACTGTTGGCGAAATGTGAAAAATTAGTAAACAATTCAATACATTGTTTTCTTCTGAAATAAAAATAACTTTTTGTGTTTCCCATTTTTTATTTTTTTATTTTGCCATATAATTTTTTCTGAAGAAAATCCTAGCCTGATCATCTCGTGAGTATAATTTGCATTTCTCTCTACACCGACTTGTTTGATTTTAGGAGGAGGATCCTTTCTTTGACGACATGAAATGTGACTTTTACATTGGCAGTGTGAAAATTTGGCTGAAATCTATGGCCTACCTAGTAAGTATTTTGATAGTTATATAAGCCTCCTTTACAACTGATAAGTCATTAGGCTTAACTTTTATGCCAACAGGCTTCCAAATTACTGTTAAACCTTTTGGTTACTTTAGATATTTAACCATGTTTTACACAGCACAATTTTAATGTCATGTAGTACTTGATAAAATCATAAATGTTCCTGCTAGTGTAAAATGACTGAAATGGATAAGATACCCACTCTTTCACGGCTTTACTTTTCTGCATCCAAACAGCTGGGTAGACTGCAGAAACCTGTGAGATATGTTGGTCTTGTACACAGCAAACATTTGTGTCAAACTTATTCAACCGACTATAGAAATTCTGTTGTCAAGTTGAATGTCATTACGGATAAGTATTATGATGGAGAATTTGGTTGTTGTTGTTGTATCAAGATATGAAGAGTGAGTCGATTGTCTTCTCTCTTCCAGATAGAGTCAAAGGACCAGCTGAGCGTGTGTGACTACCAGGGAAAGGAAGTTGGTATCCTCAATGTGAGTCACTCTATATACATCCATGTGCAGTTTCTATATTCAGATTTCCCCTATTTTTGCTATATAGTTTAGTCGCTACCCGAGCCCATTTAATATTGGTATAACCTTGATATAAGTGTAATGTCACATGGCCTGAATTGTTTATTAGTGTAAGAGTATAGAGACAAATGTTTACTGATTACCGTTGATATCCACCACTCAAAGGATATATAGATCTTACTTTATTACACAAAGTCTGTTGAAGATGTGAAGACAATGTATCGTCTACTGAAGAATGGCTGATCAGAGCTTAGTTGACACGAAACATCCCTAGGTGTTGTTTTGTATTAATGAAGGGCTAAGTTTCATTCTAGAACATAGTGACAAATCGTTTAAAAGCAATCCTTGCAGAAGGAATTGACATATTCTCAAGTTTAGCATGTTGTAATGGGCCTCTTCTTAAAGTTCTATTTGTTATAAAACTTTTTCGCTTTGAATTCAAATCTATGAGTGATGAAATGCTGTTGTTTCAGTACGAAATACTTCCATGTGATAGCAAAGGTAAGGAGTACACTGACAGCGATGATATTTTTGTGGAGATCCCGGATGAACTTCTAGGCCGTCCAGATGGAGTGCATTTTAAGCTGAAAATTACCAGTGCCCGAGGCCTTCCAATGAAATTTGTGGTGGGTGATTTAACTAGAAATCATTTGTATCAATATACTGAATGGAACATTGAGTTTTAAAAACTATTCTGTTACTAAAAGTAGGCTGAAAATAAGTTTGCACCATCATAAAACTTTAAAAAGAAGTTTCCCTGCGATTTGGAGGGTCAGAACACAATTCAAGTAGACTAATCTAATTTCAAACACAAAAGACAAAGGTGTTTTTTGGGAGTCTAAACCATACAATGGTCTGTTGCCCTGCAGTATAGGGTTCAGTAAGGCCTGAACTTTTGCAGCCATATTCCTAATATTGAGGTCGTTTATACATGTTTCATGAAACTTCGCCAAAAAATTAAACCATGTGTTCAAGATATATCAAAGTTAAAATACTGAAAAAATGGTCATCAGACAGAAAACTCTTTGGAGTAAAAGCAGTATTAAGATTAAGAAAGTTTGCAAAAACCAAGTTTGACTGTTTATGAACTAGCTTTCACATCAGGAAAGTATACATCATCAAGCAGGATTAGGCAAAAACATAAGTTCAGGTACAAACTTAAATTACAGAAACAACTTTGTTCAAATTTCCAAACAATATTTTCTTGACAGGATGTATACGCAAAATACACATTTTTCAACGAAGACAGGGTTTACGAGACGAAGAGGCTGCCTGCTACTAATAACCCTGACTGGAAGTATGAGATGCAACATGACCAGGCGAATGTCGCATTACCTGTAAGTATAGCCATTAGCTACTTGGATTGTAAAATTTATCATTTGTTTCTGAACATTGGTAGGAATATTTGTTATCATCCTCCGTGGAGGATACAAATAAAAGGGAGGTGCACCCTGTAAGGATTTCTTTTGCAGATTCGTACAAAAATTTGCATCACTCTTAAATTCATAACCATATAAAGTGAGATAAAACTGATTTTCAAAATAACTGGTTAAATAATAGTATTAACCCTTTCACCCCTATGTAACTTTAGTAGACTTTACCGTGCATTGATCTGGATGAATCCATTATGGTCTACAGTGGTGAAAGGGTTAATGAAAATATGGCAGAAGTGATGTCTTTATGTCTACACTACATCTGCAAATTCAACACTTGGAAACAAGCGCTTTCTGTGTGTTTCTATCAAGTCACAGACTGTCATTTTGCTGTGTTACTACATGTTTACAGGTTTTTTCTTGCACTTTCAGTATTTATTATATTGGATTTGAGTATTTGGTATAATGATATAATACTTATGATAATAATTGAAATATATATATCACTACAGGATAAAAAAATCCAGCAGAACTTCAGTCTTATTATCGCATTGTTGATTACCGTGTATTGTGTCTATTTCAGTTCCTGGACTACCTCAAAGACGGGGCCATCATGATCCAGATCTGGGGGAAACAGAAGATCCAGAAATCGAAGAAACATATCAACACTAAAGACGCCTTACTCTCGTCTTCCCTGACCAAGGGCAAGATGGGTGCTGGACAATCCAAGGTAAGCGCACATGCTTTTCCAAGAATTGATTGAGAAATGCTAGATCGTGTTTCAATACCTTTCCGTCACGATATGTATCTTGATACGACCCGCATGGTACACTATTATCAAGATAACTTAATATCTGCACAATTCAAATGAGAAAGTAGAAAACTTGTTAACCCATGTCAACTGTATATTCTTTGAGAAATATACCATATTTTTGATAAAATTTTACGATTTTAACATTGAAGACATCTGATGGTGTTGTTGTAGGCTTTTGACACTGACAAAGTGAAGTACATGATGGAAGCCGCCTTCCTCAGGAAGAGACAAGAACGCCTCGAACAGAAACTTGTAAGTTAAAACGACAAACCCATCCCTATACATAAGGTTATACTAAACAGTGTGTGGAATTACTATCCTGTCAAGTAATGTGCTGCAACATTTTATGACAATGTTGAATTCGTAATTAGGGCCCCACAGTGTCCGTCCATCCACAATTTGTTTCAGAGATTATCTCTGAATCCAAAAAAATGATCTTTTTGAAATTTGACTTCGCAATACACAGTGTTATACAGGTGTGCAATATAGGTGTTTAGAAAGTTTCTAAGGTCAAGGTCAGTGTCATTGTTGCTTAAAATAGATCACAGGGTGTACAACTGGGCACATGCATGGCAGGGTTGGGTCCTACCTGACCTGTCAGTGTTCCAGTTCATGTTTAAAGCAAATATCTAAAAAATAAACCTCACATTATGATATGGTTAATCAACATTATACAACTAGGAACATAACCGGTTTTCATGTTTCTGATTCAACCATAAATAGGATGTACATCAAACATTTAAATGGGGTGATAGTTGCAATATGTGTGTTGAAATCTAAATTACCATCTTCAGACAAAAAGACTCTACAAATCTCTTAAAATGAGAAAATTGAATATTTGACTTAGCCTTTCAGTAATGAATCTTGACACTGGCCCAGTTGATTTTAATATACAATAAACATGTTTGATTTACATTTTTTATACGCCCCACAGCATGCCATGAAGAAAATGTTGGATGAGGCAGAGAAACACAATAAAAAGAAAATCTCTACCAGCCTCATCAAACAGATCTACAACGCATCAACAGCTGACGCAGCTGACAAGTGTATTGCCCTCATTCCTCAGGAGAAAGGTAAATAATTGGTAGGTACGTCTACAAGTGGCCCACGAGGGGGTTGTTCCATCAATATTAACCAATGTGATCTATCTAGATCTATATAGATATTCTGTAACACCCTCTTTTGAGTTTTATGTGCAGCGTGCGCATCTGTGCATGTTAAAAGGTATCGTGTGGTGACCGAAATAGAAATGGTAAAGTGTGAACTGGTGCATGCATAAGGGAGAGAGAGAGAGGGAGAGAGAGAGAGGGAGGAAAGAAAGAAAAAAAAGTGTGATGAGAGAGTATTTGGTGCTAAAGAATGTCTATAAGTTTAGACCTGCGACTGCCCATGCAAGAGCATATTTTATGGAACCTCTATGGATGTTGATAGCTCCTGTTGTACAAAATAGCGGATCTATTATGGACTTTGGGTCGGGGTGTGAAGGAGGAGGGGGGTGGGGTGGTGAAAATAATAGTTTGAAGATTGTTTACCTAATATATAGTAACATACACTCCAACTGAGCTGTATTTGGAAAGAGTTCTGATTCGGTGTTGGTCATATCAACTCTGGCCACCTTTAGGAACTCTTTCCCATACAGAGCCAGAAATAGTGTATTCGGGTNTAATTGTAAAAGTCCTTATTGGTAAGGGTTTGGCGAAAAGATAGGTGGTGGGCATTTCTTGATAGTCTTGTGGGTGGACTACATATGGTGGCATTTGGATTGCTACTGTCTGGTAGACTATTTTGTAAAATAAACACAGTCTGCTTTTGGATCTTCTGTGTGCTAATGTTTGCCAACCCAGACTCCCTTACATGTCTGTTACACTGTCCAGAGGGGAAAATTTGCCAGACACCCACCTAGCAGCTCTGCGCTGGACCATTTCTAGTTGTTTACTTTGATCTTGGGTATATGGGTCCCAGACACAGGCAGAATATTCTAATTTAGGGCGAACCAGTGATCAATGATCAGCTGATCCAGAGCAGCTTGTGTTTGTAGAGTAAGATATTGACTCGTGCCATAGCATATTTACTGCTCTGTAGCACGGGACTTGTATATTCCGTCTTTGCGTATTGCAGAGTTATCTTCTCTTGGTAGCAAGTATTGATTGTTACGTCATTGGTCTGTGTGAGAAAATTACGTCGTTTTCTCAAAAATTGATGACGTTATTCTCACAAACAAGGGACGTAACAATCAATACCTGCTCCCAAGAGAAGATAACTCTGCAATACGCAAAGGCGGAATAACCCTGCAAAGTTCAGATGGCGCTCTTATCCGCTAATATATAAATGTGATGGCCCACATAGTTGTCATCATTATCATGATGTCATTATTGTAACATTCGATACCACTGACCCTCCCTTGAAGATGGCTGTTGTGTTTATTTTATTAGCGGACATGATACATTCACAACATTTGACTAAATGCTGAATTTTTCATTAATAAATTCAATTCTAAAATAGAAGATCTATTAAAAGTGCTGGTCACTGACAAAATGAAACCTGTACAAGCACCATTATTACAATGATATAATAAATCTGATCAGGAATACTTTTTCGAGATTCAGACTTCCTTTATAATCTGCGGTGCTGTAACTTGAAGGGGTCAAATTTCTGCATGTTGTTTTTGGAAATAAACTCTGTGAACTGTCGAAAGTTGTCCAAAGTCTTAACTTTAATAACTCTATCAGAAGGGCAACAAATTTGTTAGGACATTTTAGATTATTTTTTTGAGGCTGCAAATGTAACGAAAATAAAATGTCTGTAAGTTATTATATTAGGAACTTTAATTAAGGTAGCAACTTTTGGCCTTAACAAATTTCTTGATGCCCCATTGGGTTCTCTTTTGTGATTTACAGTACTCTGAATATTCAAAGTGTTTTATAAAAGAAATGCAAATATCGTGAATTACATGGTTGGATTATTTTAGATGATGACGATGAAGAGGATGATGCCAAGCCCTCAGCAGCCCCAGCAGCTGTGGTGAAGGGTGGAGAAAAGGAGGGAAAAAAGAAGGATAAAGACAGCAGCAGTGAAAGTAGTGACAGCAGCGACAGTGATAGCGATAAAGAAAAGGAAAAAGACCCAGAGAAAGAAAAGAAGAAGGAAGCAAAGAGATTACGAAAGGCTGCAAAAGTAGCCGCAAAACAAAAAGAGAAAACAGCTACAAAAAATCAGTCGAAATTAGTCCGGCAAAATACACAGGGTAAAATACCAATAGTGAAAAAAGAGGAGAAGAAGTCATCTGCCTGTATATTATTGTAAACATTCCTATCCTGTTCTTTTTCACCCTTTCACCACTGTAGACCATAATGGACTCATCCAGATCAATGTATGGTAGAGTTTATTAAAGCTACATAGGGGTGAAAGGGTTAAGGTTTGACGCATTGACATTCACCTAAGGAACTTTTCACCTACCAGGTGAACAAAGTGAAACATTCCTAGTACCTCTAAGTCCTTCTCTTCTGATTTACATAATGTATACCATACTTAACCCCTATTTATTTTGACATCACATCTATGTAATTGCACTGTTTTAGCAGTATAGTTTTAGATTTTGAAAATCATCCTAATACAGTTGAAGTATTCTGTAAAAGTTTGAATTATTTTTGATAGAGTTTACACCCAATCATTATTCAGTTATAGGCCAAGATCAAGATATTGTCACCTATTACATTTTATAAGAATAAACCTGTAGGGAGAGATAAGTGGATTAGCTCCTGTTGTCCAGGCAACTGCAGAATATGGCCGCTTTACTCTCAGTTATTATACGAAGTCACAACATCTAATCCCTAATCAGAAAGAGTTTATGTTTTTTTATGTTTGACTTGTTAAATAATGATTTTATATGATTGTTAATGATGACACTATTTATTGGATATCACACACAATGGTTCAGGTTTTGTGAGAAGAGACTAACCATGACCTTAACAATTGGGATTGACCTTGACCTGAGGGAATGACATTTTGTACTGTTAAACGGGCTCCCTGATTGGTATTTTGTCTGTTGTATTTGTTATAAGCTGCTGTTATTATTTTAGAATATCTCTTTAATCCAGAACTCGGTAACCAAGAAAACGTGCATGTGGCTTTCCAGGAAACTGTCACATTTCCTTTTTCTAAGATACAAAATTTTGGACATTCCTGACCTTTTCTTGAAAAGCAAAGTTTTGATTTAAGAGATGCCACTGTTCTGTGTATATATCCTAACATTCTATTTATGGAATCAAGAACAGCTTGTCTGTATATTGGTAAGACAGCTAAATGCCACAAAGCCTATAGTGATCAACCTAATGTAGGGGCTATTGTAAATATAAGATTTTGGGGTGGGGACAATATGTCAAGTAGTCAAGGAATCAGGTAGTCATGATTTCCTTAGTTTTGTGACAATGTTTTTAAATTTATTTAATATAGAAGTGTACATAAATACATATATATATAAAGCACTGTATAGATTTCAGATGGCGACACCTTTCATAGCACAGTTAATGTAGCAGGACTGGACTGTATTTACCACTGGAGATTTGACATCCATCTAGAGTTCGTTTGTTTCGGGTTTGAATCTTGTTCTAAATCGCTGCCCTTTTCCCGTTCTTTTACACCATGACATTTCTATGAGTGCGAATGGTATCATTTATGTATAAATTCTTGATTTTTATTTATATTGATCTTTCTCTTTTTTTTTGTTAGAACTTATCAGTTTAAGTGAATATATTTTTGCGTTCAAAAACCAAAACTTTAAAACCATCTGTACTAAACCTTTTCTATAGTTTTTGATGTACCATGAAGAAACTGGAAGTATTTGTAAATACAAATGTATAATTCATGGCACTAACTTGATAGATCTGCTCCCTCAGAGCTATGTTCTGTCAGTATCAGATAATTTGTCACATTTGTCAATGTTATCAAACCGGCACTGTTAAAATCACTGTGATGCTGGTTTATGTATATGTTGTTTTTAAATTGGCGGTAAAATCAGACAAAGATGTCCTGTTAAACTCCGTATATTTGCTAGCTTGTGCTATTCGTCCAAGTCCTTAACATCCGGATGTTGATATTCAGGTGATGAATTTTCGAAACCAGTTAATTTGGAACTGTCCATTTGTTAATCCTTTTGGTTATAAATACATCTCGTAAAATATTTGTCAATTTGGAAAAAAAACTACCAATATTGCTGGAACAAAAAGATTCACGAGGTGACGGACAAGAAAGGAACTATAAGCGTTGACTTATACATGTGGCTGTTTGTAATGCTGGAGAATGCGCTACAGAATTCTCGAACACTTGTAGGATTTGGGTTATATACTGTTATTAGCAGCAGAGTTCATATTCAGAACACCACTTTGAAATGTTTGGCAAAGAATTTCGACAATATTTATCACTTTGAAAACATGTGTACAACACACTCGACAACTAGAAATATTGATTGTTCACCATACTTTTATTAGCAGCTAAATATTCACAAAGAGATTGTAGGTTGAACATCTTAAAGAAGCTGGTCATAACTGGTCATGTGAGCTTTCAGACAGATTTTCTCTCCCCTTTTTACATGAACTCCACACTATCCAGTGCTTCGATTATGTTTTATGTAAATTTTCCTTTTGTGATTGTCTAATGACAGAACCATGTTGTGGATGATTCTGCTTCATAACGTGTCCGGTCAATGGACTTTGTAGGCGCTTATTTCTTCTATGTCTAGAGATGGAACTTTGTCATGGGTGCATTTCTGAAGCCATGCCATGTCTTCTGTCGACGGATTTCGCTGGTCACTGGTGATTCAAAATTGTAATTCATCTCATTTGAAATGATTCATTAAACAAAAGATGTGCAATATTGAAAATCCTTTTTAGTCTGGAGGTGACATAGGTGTTTGACTTGAGTAGTCTCCCCTGTTTGACTTGAGTAGTCTCCCCTGTATTGATGGTTGGATTGTTACTTATTAGAGAGTTGTTAATAAAGCTTGGTTCCACTGACGATGATAGTTTTTGTGTGCTGGGTTTGTCGTCCATGCATGCAGTTGAGTCTGTGATATTATATAGGTCACTGGAACCCAGGTTTACTGCCAACCCTGCCCCGTGTGTACGTTGGAATATCTTCCAGTTGTTTTATAGTTACCAGGACATAAAGGTGGTCGACAGTGTGTGTACTACACAGAAATGTTGTCAGCTGATTGGTGTCGATGTATGTGATGGGTTGATGTGGTTTTTTTGTGTTCCACGTTTAATTTGTTTACTTTGATGAATAATGCATACAGTTTATTAGTGATGTGCTTCTCGTTTCGTTGAATTTTCTCTGATGAGGAATTTAAACACATTGCAGTGACAGATTTCCATATGTATTTAGAATCATTTCATGTTTCGATCCATTTTGAATTCGGTGATTAAACAAAATTTGTTATTTTTGTTGTGCCCTCTACCTGTCTCCAGTAGAAAGTGACCATTTTCAGAGTTGTTGTTTTGATAAAGAACGGCACGTTGGTGGAACGCCCTTGGTGTGATGGTGTATTGTGAGTTGGCTTTGTAGATTATGCTTATACGTATTATTTTGCTGTTTCCAGAGTAGGATTTGATAACACAACTGACATGAGTGTTTTTAATCCATCTGGTGTTATATAAGTTTGCTTGTTTAGACTAAGTAGTGCTCTTTAAGCCTACAGTTGTTCACAGAATCAGGCTTTACCAAAAATTGAGGTATATTGTAGTTTTCCAATGAATATTTTACTGGCATTCCCATTTTGAAATTTGGCCCTTTTTATATTATCAGAATTGTTAGGTACCTTTTTCAAACTGTTCAGGATTTTTCATTTTTGAAATTGGTTTCATTTTTTGAGTAGATTTTGGTAAAGTTTTGATTGTGTGGATCAGTGTAGGTGATATTAACTTAATTTCTGTAGTTGTTTGAATTTAACCTGTTTGAGTGCTTTTATTTGATAGATGTTTTCTAGTTTTCTAAGTTTAGATTTAACTTATCTTGAAACACTGCCAAAATATTTTTCAATTTGTTAAACCAACCCTTGTGATGAGGGTTTTGCTTGTCAAAGCATGACTGTGATATGCTGTATATAAAATATTCAATATCCATTCTCCATCTCATTAACTGGTGCTGTCGGTTTGTGATAGAACACTGCGAGTCTCCCCGACCCAGTTCCTATACATCCCACATGTACCTTTATCTCTTCTGTCTATCCATATCATTTCAACTGTGACCTCCTTTCTCTTTTGCTCGTCCTTTCGCTGTTTAGCTTTCTGCTTTTTTTTTTTTAGCTTTTGTGTTCTTTTTTTTCTGAGAAGTTCTGTTTGCAAGATAGCATACACCAAGCTTTGTACTGCCAGCTTAAACTGACCAGCTCTGCTGCTGTGAACCAAGCTCCTATGATCCAATGCTGTGACCTCTGCTCCGAGAATGTAGCCCAAACTCAAATGATTTGACCTCAGCTCTGATAAGTCATATACATGTATTACAATGATGTCAATTACCAACAATGTTGTTATAGAATATTGTTTTAAACCGCAGACATTATTTCAAACTTAAAATTGATTAAATCCAAAAAATAAGCAAGTAAAACATGAGAAAAGCTATGGGCACTGACTACTGACCTGTAACTAAAAACCTAGAGCTGCCCTATCGCTAGGGAAGGTGTGTAACATCTATGATGTAATGTACATTGTAATAAGTCTGTACATACAAGTGCTATTTATAAAATGGTTGTATTATTTATTATGAAGACAATGAATTCAGTATTTTGATGGAACAGCATAAATATGAACAAGGATGTATACATACATTACCTTAATATTTTCGTATCTTTATTGTATACAGTGGCAATTATTGCAATAATGGTATTTTTTTCCGTAAAACTTTATACTCATTGTTTTTGACATTAGTTTTATTCTTCCTGTATGAAATAGGGCTTGTCAAATTTTCCTTTTTATATAAAAGGATAACATATCAGAGCGTGGAACTATCTGAAGGGCCTTATATATAGTCCAATCAAGTGTTGTATATACATCCAGATGATGTAATGGCTAAATATGTCTATGCCGTCCAGTTTATCATATTTATAAGATATGACACGATTTCATTGACTTTTCTAGATCTGTTGGAGAGGTTGGTTTTATTGTAGTTAGTGGTTTTTCTTTATATCAATAAATGTAACCTAGACCATATTTGGTCTTAACAGGAAATGTTACAAATGTTTGCCCTGTTTGTGGCTGTCGCGTTGAGAAAGATATAATTTGTACATGTATTGCTCAATTTTTCCACAACCAATGTAATTATGGTACTTACAATCACAGTTTTATCTCGAATTTCTCACACATATGTTGACTAGTTAAAAGTATTGGTACATTTCAAGCTTGTAAAACAATTCAATGCATAGTAGTATAGTTTTAAAATGGTTTGTTTGAAAATCAGTCCATCAACTCATTGGTGAAGAGGCTGTAAGGGGAATAATCCTCACATGGGCAGGTTCTCTCTTCAATATGCATAATATGTTTTCAGTGTAAGAACTACTCTGTGACAGAGTATTTATACATTAGAGGTTGTATGCTCACTGTTCTGTTTTTCTGTAGGATGTACTGTGTGATTAGGTTGATCTCGGTCAATGCAGCTCAGTCCACTAAGTAGGGAGAGTCATTGATGATTGCTGCTCTGTTGTGCCCACTAAATCTGTATATATCATGTTTAAACAGCTGAATAAAGAAGGAATTGTTGAAAATTAAAAGTAAGGTCTTCTTATTTTTCCTCATCATGGATATTTTTTGTTTGTTTTCTGCTCTTATTAAGAGGAAAATAGTGTTTTCCAAAAATATATCAATACATCTAAACGAAAACACAACATGAAAACTTAAGTATGGTTGTCTTGTTGTAATCAGTTCCTGCTTCTGCTGTAGTGTATGCTGTCAGGATTATGGAGGAGCTCCAAGTCGACACGAAAAGATAACAGGAAGTGAGGACATACCTTTCTTGTACCATATGGGTGTCCATCATATTGTCTCCTGCCAAATCCATAAACGTATATCGGTCTTCAACCATTAGTCACTTCAGCAAATCCTTAACATGACGGATACTTAAGCTACTCAGTTTATAGTCAGTTTATGATATAAACGACCATAACATTTCCTAATAGAAATCACAAATAATTTATAAAATAGGCTTTGTAAATAACATTAGTTCTCATTATAAAAAGTATGACAAAGATTTTTTGTAAAAATAGTAACAATGTAGAAACCTGAACGGCGAAAATGTTCAAGACATTGTCATACCAAACACTTGTATGAAGTTTCATAAAATTCCATTGAGAAATGAAGTTGAAAGAGCGATGACAAAGTTTTTTTGTAAAAATAGTAAAATTGACCTTGACCTTTAACGCAGTACCCTGAAACGCGAACTTGTTCAAGGTATTGTCATACTCAGTACTGGTATCAAGTTCCATGAAATTCCATTGATGGCAAAGTTTTTTCTAAAAATAGTAAAAGTGACCGTGACCTTTCTTATAGAAACCCAAAATGCGACCTTTTAAAAGGCATTGCCGTACCAAACAGTTCCATGAAGTGTTCATGAAATTCCGTTCAGTAATGGAGTCGCTAGAGTGATGACAAAGTTTTTTTTCTAGAAATAGTAACAGTGACCTTGACCATCAACATAGAAACCTGAAACGCAAACTTGTTCAAGGCATTGCCATACCAAACACTTGTATGAAGTTTAATAAAATTCCTTTGGGGAATGATGTCGGTAGAGCGATGACAAAGTTTTTTTCTAAAAATTGTAACGGTGACGTGACCTTGACCTTCAACATAGAAACCTGAAACGCAAACTCGTTCAAGGTATTGTCATATTGAACACTTGTTTGAAGTTTCATGAAATTCTGTTGAGGAATGAAGTCGCTAGAGCGATGACAAAGAGTGTAACATACGTACGTACGGGCGGAATCCTATATATACCCTCGAACTTTTGTTGCGAGGGGATAATAATTCCATAAAGGTTATCAATATCATAAACTTAAAATGGGTTTTACTTCTGGTCACTTACTTTAATAATATTACTGCCAAGTTGGCACTAACTGGCCATGGTCTGTAGGTATTGTATAATATGTACGTGTACGTATAACATATACGTCAGGTACTGTCCATGTCAAGTGCAGGAATGGTGGTAACAACACGTACGAACACGCAATCACGTGACAAGACGTTAACATGATAATACAACACAGGTGAAATATAAATACTCTGGTGGACACGTGGACTGCACAAACAGGTTTGACAAGTACGTGTATTAAAATAGATGGCTTTAGACATACATGTATGTTGTAATAAAATAATTTGAAGTGCAATATAATTGATACTAATATTACCACTCTGGTAATATATTTAAAGTCAGATTTAAACAAGAGGCCCAATGGGCCTGGGCCTGCATCGCTCACCTGCTATTAATCTAACACTTGTAATCTCAAGATTTCATAAGAACCTATTAAAAGATTTAAACATATGACGCCTCTGACCTTGATTGTTGAACAAGGACATTAGGTTGAAAGTGGATCAAGGTCATTCATTTGAACTAACATGGTAGTCCTTCATCCCAGCATGCTACAGGCCCAATTTCAGTACCCTGGCCCTTTTGCTTAATGAAAAGAAGTAGCTTGAAGATTTTACGGCATTTGACCCTGTGACCTTGAAAGTTTTTCAAGTTCATTCAGTTGAACAAACTTGAAAGTACTTCATCCCAGCATGCTACAGGCCCAATATCAGTACCCTGGGCCTTTTGGTTATTGAGAAGAAGTCGCTTGAAAGATTTTACAACATTTGACCCCTGTGACCTCGAAAGTGGGTCAAGGACATTCATTTGAATAAACTTGATAGTCCTTTATCCCAGCATGCTACAGGCCCAATATCAGTACCCTGGGCCTTTTGGTTATTGAGAAGAAGTCGTTTGAAGATTTTAACATATTTGACCCCTGTGACCTTGAAAGTGGGTCAAGGTCATTTATTTGAACAAACTTGGTAGCCCTTGATCCCAGCATGCTACTGGCCAAATATCATCTACCTAGGCCTTTCGGTTATTGAGAAGAAGTTGTTTAAAGCAAAAAGTTGACGCCGGACAGACGGACGACGGACGACGGACGGACGGACGACGGATGCCGCACCATAACATAAGCTCACGTGCCCTTCGGGCAGGTGAGCTAAAAAAAACTATATTTAGTACAAAATATTTACATAGTGCCACACTGTGATATTGGTATGCACCATCACAATATACATGTATTTCTGAAGTAAAAGTCTGCACATTGATTCAGTTTAAAAAGTGGGTGAATGGTCCCGCAATAAATCGGACACTTTTCAATTTAGGGATATAAAATCTGCAACGTATACAGTTTGATTGCCAATTGGTTTGAGTACATATCTGTAATTGGTCATTATCTCGTCTGTAGAATGTGTCGACAGAGTGCAGGATTAATAACACCCTGAGCTCGAAAGCAAGCAATTGACATAAGATGATGATGTAGACGAGTAGGACTACACACTTGAATTAGCTCTGGTCATGGAGGTTGGGTAAGAAGCATTTTCTGGCTGCAGAGTAACAACAAACATGTTTGACATCCATTTACTCCAACTATTTAAAGGATACCTAATATTCCTGCAAACTGCTTTTGTTTTAGAGATCGCCCTTGAACTACAATCGGCCAATGCTATGAGTATCCAATAATAATTTAGGTGACTTACACCACAAACGTTGTATTGCAGTAGTACAATTGATCCTTCTCCTTTTGTGTTGCCTGTCACGTGTTAGAGTATGTTTCAAAGTATATCTTGTTATAGTATATTGTCAGCCACTGCTTTGACATTTCCTTGTGTAATATTAAACTTATGCCATTATTTATCCTGCCAGGTTTAAGAGGATGAGCAGAGATTTTCTCAGTAACCCTCACTTTTGTTGCCGGGAGCTAACTATTTCCAGATCCTGTTCTATGCGCGTCCTATTGACCAATCATGCTACAAAGTCCTTGATGTGTTACCCGCGGTTTCCATGGTTCTTGATTGGTCGAACATTGTCGTCAACAAATGAAAACAAAGTAAAATGGTTTCCTACATATTCTTTATTTGCAGTGGTGTAAGAATCACTTTGATCAATACCATGCGCACCATCAGTCTCCAGCTCATCTTACAAGTTTGAGAGAGAGGTTTACCAATTGTGTACAATATTAGCTTGTACCTATACAGGCCATTTATACCTCTTTTAGACCCCGAAGCACTATTTTCTAGTTTATATGGACAAATTACACTGTTGAACAGTGTTTATAGATTTTTGTAGGTTTGTTACTGTTACATTTTTCATATATTGCTTTGAAATGATCATGTGACCATCTTTTCGCTCAATGCTAATGGTCTTGTTGAATTTGAGGATGTATGTCATCACGATATTTGCAGTATTATGATTTGTAAGTGATAACAACAAATTATATTTTGTACACACGTGTATTTTATACAAATGATAATAATTGCACTTGTTACATATTCTATTAAGACTACTCATAATTGTGCAGTGTACAGTGTACTTAAAATACCTATTCATGAGACACCACGTGATTCATTGTTAGATTATTAATCATCTTTATGTTAAATTCGTGATATTCAAGGTATAGTATACTAGCTATGTTATAAAACACAAATGCCATATTATCGTCTTATTTTAATTTCTGTCGATTTATCGGTTAATGAAAAACTGAAAATGTAAAATATATAATGAACTTAAGTCGAATATTTTAATTCAGCCTCCTCCAGCCCGCAGATATCTCTATGAAACCATTGCTTTGGAGGACAGGTCTGCCCTATTGCATACAAGAAGGATCAGTAATCCAGTTTCACTATCGGGCCAGTTTTAGCTGGAAACAATGGTGGATAGCTAATAGGAATCTGTTGAACATCTTTTTTTCAGTTGATAAATCACACGCCTCAATTCTTGCGAACTGGATATGTTCCCAATTATACTTCAAATGACCTTTTTGCAAAATGAACAATGACAACAGTTTACCCACATTGCTCAAACGTGAGTTTACTTTAGAATTTCGCGATCGACTACATTCGCGAATTATGGCGAGCACAGACCTCTCGCGAAATATAAAGTTACTTAGAGTGTATATATATACAGAAGGTCATATTGTAACATAACAATCTCGTACCAACCATAAATAACATTTAGAACACCTGTGTGTTCAGTAGTATATCCTTATATACAGGGTATAGAAGTATAAATATCCTGGTATTAACAATATGTACACGTATTTCAATGTTTAAATACATCATTGTAAAAAAAAAAAATAAAAATAAAAAATGTGAATAACGTTTATTGAAGTATATATAGGTATAGAGTTTATATTAGGAATTTTAAACACCAGTATTCCAAAACGTTGGTAAAGCAGTGTGTTCTAATTCCTGTGTGTCCGCAATACGAGTAATATCAATTGATACGCCACGCAAAGGTATGTATCGGAACACTCTACGTTTACCTACAGTTTTATTTAGTTACGATAGTGAACATGTTCGAGCACAAATGTAGAATAATGGATGAATTAAATATTCAAGAACACTTTTTATGGCTATAAATTACTTATTCCCATAATTTGAAATCGTAAAATGAGTGACAACGCATCAATGCATCGATGGATTAACTGTGCTGCGAAACTTCCGCGACGTGAACGAATTCGCAATTGCAAACTTTCCGCGAAATTATATACCTCGCGTTATTTAAAGTGAGGGGAACGCGTCATAACATTCCAATGACGCCTGACTTTATAAATATTGTATAAATATGATTATAATATTACGCTTAATGTACAAATTCATAAAGTATTTGTCATCCCAAATATTGCAGAAATAATAAAATCACATCACTGTTTACCATGCATATGCAACATTTGCACAACCGCTCCCATCGTAAAGCTTTCTACAAAATGAAAGTCTATAGTGACACTAAATGGAATGAAAATGACTTGAAAACGACATATCGACAGTTAACATGATTACAGTTACAATAATAACGCTCCTTTGGCACACATGTCGGTGGTAATTAATTGAGCAATGTTGTTGATGAATGACGATCACTGATCAACTGTCGAGGTTAAATATAACGGTTGTTAGGAGAATAATAATGATGACATCATCCCGAGTACAATAAATCATATTTGAAAGAAGATAATAGACAAATGTTTCACAACTACACGTGAATTAATTACTATTTTGATAAAAACTCATTTACAACTTTTAATGGAAATCGTTAACGTTGTAATGAGACTCATTAAATATTATTATTTTAATTATCCTAATCAAAGGATGTTTCAGTGACTACATTTGTTTACATATCCTTCACAATTAAGAGATAAACAGAGATTAATTCTGATAATCAGATGTAAGATAGAAACAGCCTAATGTTGAATCGACATAAATATTATATTGGACTGATATTTCAGACGAAACGTGAACCCATTCTTCAAAACGTTGCATGAAAACTACATGCTTGAACATGAAAAAATATTTTCATGATTTTCTTTGTATTACAAATGTAACATGCACACAACAATTCATATTATATGGGATGTAAACAACTGCCAAATACTATATGTATTATCCTAAACAGTGTACGCAGAGGGGAATAATCAATTCCCGAAGAAAGTGGTCCCCTTTAACAGCACGCGCACTATCGGTATATACATGTACAAGTAAGTGTCTAAAAGCGTGAAATAAAACCCAGTAAATGTAAAATGGTGTGTTAAATGAAAAATATAATCAATAAAAAAAAACACCTCGTAACATTATTTTCTAAATCGGCGCATTCAATCATTACATGAACCCGTATCTCGACGAAATAAGTAACACACTCTAAAACATTCTCCAAGAGCGTTCACTTAATTGATTGCAATTCTAAATACAGTGTATACAGGTTTCGTGAAGTTTAAAATGTATTACACATTTCAATTTTGTCAATATGCCATTTACAAAACAAAGCTAAACTTTGATTTTTATTTCGACTGGGCAGTGGCATTGGTGAATTTAACTGACGTGTGTGGAACCAATGCCTGTATATTGTTATCATACTTAAGGTAAGATCAAATACTTAAAAAATATTATATAACTATTTTTTTGCCATTCTCATAATACAGTTGAATCTGTTAAGAACACATGTCTGTAAAGATCGCTTGCCTATAAAGACAACACGTCTGTAAGACTCATCTTTTTATGACGACCATATATCAATGACATTTGAAGAAAAACAGCAAATGGTGTTATTATTATATTATAACAACCCGTCTGTAAAAAACACTTGAACATTAAGGCCGTTTTAGCATATCTAAGATGTAATATCTAATATCTACCTTACATACAGGTTTTAATGTGTTATTAGAAATCAGCCGTAGCAGATAACTGTACTAATTCGTTAAGTAAGGGACAAACAGGTAACTCATTCGTTTCATTATTCAAAGAGGAAAGAATATCAGATAAATGATCCGGGGTTTAGCTGCCCATGGGAATGGGTGGAGTATAGAACAATTACAGGTTACAAATCAAAATTGGAGAAGTCTGTCCTTAACATAGATTGACTGCTTGTTTTCTTGAAGGAATTGTCTCTTTTCATGTACCTTTCTTTGGGTAGTGGCAAAGTACTGCAATCGTAGATCTTGTTATTTACAGTTAAGAAGTCTAAACTTAGTTGAGATGCAAAAGAGGATTTTCGGCTTTTGTTATTTTTGGATTCATTTTTCTTCCGTTCCTTTTCCAGATCCAGTTTTCTGAAACTGTGGCAGCTCTTCCAGCACAAGTAGATACCGACAGTACACATTATCCCAAAGACAAAGGCAGTTGATCCGACGACTATCAGATGGAAGAATTTATACGTCGGCCCTTCCTTACCGGAACGGTCGATCACCGACTGGACTTTTACTTCTGGAAATGGAACATTGCAAATTGTATGTGTATGGGCATTCATTCAAGGAAATAATGCATTATGTTAACAAATTAGTTAAATGAAATAGCTATCTTTAAACTGTTTTAGGTTGTTATAAAACATATATCACCCGAATTTACTCAGTAGTGTTTGCCGAAAAGGACTTTCATTCGAACAGAAGTACGATGGCGTGACCTTTCAGAAACGGGCGCAAAATGGTTATTGGGTATCCTTACGGAAGGATGAGTCCTTTCAAGTACAAACTGAAATCTTGAGTTATCGAGGATACAGCTTTGCTAAGAATAAATATACAGGGAGTAAGGAAATTATCCCACTGTTTTGAAGAAAATAAGTAAGGTTCAGAATTACGTGATAAAGGGAAGGAATCAGTATTGCATACCACGATCACTGTCGAGACACGACATGGATTCCATACGTTGACCTTGACACTGGTCAGGTTTTGGATAGATCACATGACATGACCGATGTCGGAACCGGATTCCATCATAGCTACATGGAGTCCATTGCGACCATTCATCCCAGCCATAAGTGTCTAAAGATAGAATATAGGATTGTATTGGCATGGCTATATTTGTTTCTTCGATTACGGTCACTTACAATGGTTAAATAACAGCTAAATATGTGTTATCAATATTTACAAATATAAAAGGACCAACCACAAGGACAAAATGTAGGTCAAAATCGATATGTTAAGACAATGACAATGAAGAGGACAAACAAAACAGGAGCAAAGACAATAAACGAACCAGAAAAATCACTGGATTCACGTACTCCAACAGTGATAGATGTTTTACACAGCGAGATACTTTTTACAGGTGCCATGTCGCAGTCGGCAAAATCATATCCGATAGAAAAAAGGCCGACCTGCGGCCCCTTATGTTATAGGAGTATGGATTCACGGTGATTATTTGCCAATCAGTCTTCATCTATTTGTAAAAAATATCACTATCTAAAACTGATGAAATAGGAATTTAATGAACACCAAAAACAAAATAAATACATCAAGTATAGAAAGTTGTTCTCGGTGGATTTAAACAATGAAGAACCTTTCTAATGCAAACGTTTTTTTATTTGTATTTACTCACCATTACACGGGTACATATAGCACATAACGACATTCTCGTGTGTCCCTGGACACTGTAGCGTGTAGGTGGAACCGGGTACTGGACTCCGACACTTCCTCACCTTCACTCTCGTGCCACGCCCACAACTCACAGAGCACGCCGAGTATTCAGACCAACAACTCCATTGACCTGTGTTATTACAAAAATAAAATCATTTTGTGATGGATTGTTTGGATAGCTGAGGTTTCCGAAACAAACGCCTATTGCTATGCTTTGTGTCCCACAACTTGAAATAATTATATATTAGCGCGTAGATTGATTTTCGCAATAGCTTTTTGTTCCACATTATAACACAGTTTCACGCAGGTTTTGGATTCGGCATTGCGAGAAACATTGACAAATGTTGATTCTTACTTTAATTGTGAAGTAAAATTATAGCTTATTTAATCAATATATTGATTCTTACTTTAATTGTGAATTAAAATTATAGCTTATTCAATCATTATATTGATGAACTACTTCAATTGTTAATTAAAATTATAGCTTATTTAATCATAATATTGATGAATTGGTGTTTTCACATGTATGCAATTGATTAATCTAATTATTGCAAAAAGACTAATTTATGATTTACAATTTTATGTTAAATCCACACTTTAAAATCAAGCTGTTGTTCCAATGTTTTCCCTCACGAATTATAACAATTTACCCTCGCAGGAATGTGTGTGGCAAGTCCTGGTTTCCACTGCCTCCCCGATGCAGTCCTGACCGGATCCGAATGGCTGAGGGCTGTCACATGTCCTGTGACGTTGCTGGGTACCGCCCCCACAGTAGGTAGTACACTTGGTGAAAGCACTCCACGGCGACCACCCTCCGTGTTGTGTTAAATTGCGGATATCATCTGTTACGTTAGATACGAACGTGTAATATACTCTTTCATGACATGCATGGATTAGCAATTCGGGAATTTGGAATTTAATTGGTTAAAGATAACATCCCGCAGTTTCAAAATCAGTTGAATGAATTTTATTTATTTGAATTAGTATGCATATGAATATATAGTGTTTAAAGATATGATTTTACTTGCCAGAAGTAAACTTTATTTTGTAATAAACATGCAATTAATTTACATGTGTAGGTACAGACAATACATACGGTAGGTGTCATAATTACATTACGTACGTTTGTATCTATTGCTTCCGTATTTAGCTCAGATCAACAATTTGTGAAACTCTATTCCTGGCCCCTGCTGTACGAGTTTTTATTTAAATTAACTTATGAAAAAAGAATTGTATCTTTTGTTTAAAAATCAGGGTGTGTTGAAATTTTTTCGATTCAACACTGGCAAGAAACAAACGCAGGAAAACGCAATTTGCGACAAGGTAACATTTGTTTGGCGTATTGTTTTTCGTTCTAAACCAGTGTAAAAAGCTGGGTCAGTCGTGGCGATGTTTGATTCTAACCTAAAACGATTAAGAAGTCATCTTTGAAATATTTTAACGCGCGTATCAAATGACATATTTACTAAAAAATAGTTTAACCTATGTATATAGACTAGGCTATATTGACAAGTTCTGCCTTAGCTCATTCTTATTACGCTAGAAACTGACACAGCAATTTAAATTCATTGGTAGTAGATAAGAATAATACATCAAGACAAGAATGGATCCAAACGGATACCTTTGAACCTCTAATTCTATTGTATGTTATGGTTTTATTTGAATTTGACCAAGGAGTCTCCTAAGCAATGTATTCCGTCTTTGCGTATTGCAGAGTTATCTTCCCTTGGAAGCAGGTATTGATTGTTACGTCATTAGTTTGTGTGAGCATATTACGTCGTTTTCTCACAAATTGATGACGTTTCTTTCACAAACAAGTGACATAACAATCAATACCTGCTCCCAAGAGAAGATACCTCTGCAATACGCAAAGACGGAATACCAAGGAATATAATTTAAATATGGACAAACGAGCTACCCATTTGATTTAATGCTGATAAAGATTAACATATCAAACCACCCTTACTTGTAAAATTTGTGTGGAAATGTTTCAATCTCATTGATTTCATTTTACTTGTTTTTAGTATTCTATTAGTTCATTAAAATTGTATTTTAATTAATTGAAATTCTTGAAAATATTTTCCTTTTTTAAGTGTTCGAAGCATCGCCAAATAATCATGTTGTACTATCCATAAATCAACAATGTATATAATTTTCGGACAGGTTTAGCAAAATCGTTTATCACACAAATAAATCACAGAAATTTAGTATGGAAGGTAAAGAGCGTAAATTTGGAGGGAATTGTCTCTCGACTTTTTTGTTTTTGTTTTCATGTAACTTTTGTTAATCATATTTTGTAACTGTTTTCATAGTACTTTTATTACCATAGAATATTACACGAATACTTTAGGTTGTCCAACTCTTAAATTATCAATACAAGAGGCCCAATGGGCCTGAATCGCTCACCTGGTATTAATCTCACACTTGTAATCTTAAACGTGGACTAAAATACAGCTAGAGGCAGAATATCAGTGTTTGATTCATAAGAACCTATTAAAAGATGTATACCACTGTGACCTTGAATATGGGCAAACTTGGTAGCCCTTCATCCCAGACCGTTAATGGCCAAATATCATCACCCTTGGCCTTTTGCTAATTGAGAAGTCGTTTAAAATTTTTTTAAAACATATTTGACCCCTGTGTTCCTGGATATACATCAAGGTCATTCATTTGAACAAACTTGGTAACCCTTCATCCTAGCATGCTACTTGCCAAATATCATAACCCTAGGCCTCTTAGTTATTAAGAAGAAGTTGTATAAAGGTTTCAAACATATTTGACCCCTGTGACCTTGAATATAAGTTAAGGTCATTCATTTGAACAACTTGGTAGCCATTCATCCCAGCATGTTACTTGCCAAATATCATAAGCCTAGGCCTCTGAGTTATTTAGAAGAAGTTGTATAAAGGTTTCAAACATGTTTGACCCCTGTGACCTTGAATATTTGTCAGTCATTTATTTGAACAAACTTTGTAGCCCTTCATCACAGCATGCTACTGGCCAAATATAATCATCCTAGGCCTTTTGGTTATTGAGAAGTTGTTTAAAGGTTTTTAACATATTTGACCCATGTGACCTTGAATATAAGTAAAGGTCATTCATTTGAACAAACTTGGTAGACCTTTATCCCAGCATGCTACTTGCCAAATATCATCATCCTAGGCTTCTTGGTCATTCAGAAAAGGTTATTTGAAGGTTTTAAACATATTTGACCCCTGTGACCTTGAATATTTGTCAATGTCATTCATTTGAACAAACTTGGTAGCCCTTCATCCCAGCATGCTACTGGCCAAATATCATTATCCTAGGACTTGTTGTTATTGAGAAGATGTTGTTTGAATGTTTTAAACACATTTCATCATTGTGACCTTGAATATTTGTCAAGGTCATTCATTTGAACAAACTTGGTAGACCTTCATCCCAGCATGCTGCTGGCCAAATAGCATCATCCTAGGCCTTTTGGTTATTGAGAAGAAGTTGTTTAAAGGTTTTTAACATATTTGACCCCTGTGACTTTGAATATATTTAAAGGTCATTCATTTGAACAAACGTGGTAGCCCTTTATCCCAGCATGTTACTTGCCAAATATCACTATCCTAGGCCTCTTAGTTATTCAGAGGAAGTTGTGTAAAGATTTTTTAAGACAATTGACCCCTGTGACCTTGAAAATGAATGAAGGCCATTCATTTGAACAACTTCGTAGCCCTTTATCCCAGCATGCTACTGGCCAAATATCATCACCCTGGGCGTTTTGGTTATTCAGAAGAAGTTGTGTAAAGTTTTGAACATATTTGACCCCTGTGACCTTGAAAATAGGTGAAGGTTATTTATTTGAACAAACCTTGTAGCCCTTCATCCCAGTTTGCTTCTGACCAAATATCATTATCCTAGGACTTGTGGTTATTGAGAAGATGTTGTTTGAATGTTTTAAACACATTTCATCATTGTGACCTTGAATATTTGTCAAGGCCATTCATTTGAACAAACTTGGTAGACCTTCATCCCAGCATGCTACTGGCCAAATAGCATCATCCTAGGCCTTTTGGTTATTGAGAAGAAGTTGTTTAAAGGTTTTTAACATATTTGACCCCTGTGACCTTGAATATATTTAAAGGTCATTCATTTGAACAAACGTGGTAGCCCTTCATCCCAGCATGTTACTTGCCAAATATCATTATCCTAGGCCTCTTAGTTATTCAAAAGGAAGTTGTGTAAAGATTTTTTAAGACAATTGACCCCTGTGACCTTGAAAATGAATGAAGGCCATTCATTTGAACAACTTCGTAGCCCTTTATCCCAGCATGCTACTGGCCAAATATCATCACCCTGGGCGTTTTGGTTATTCAGAAGAAGTTGTGTAAAGTTTTGAACATATTTGACCCCTGTGACCTTGAAAATAGGTGAAGGTTATTTATTTGAACAAACTTTGTAGCCCTTCATCCCAGTTTGCTTCTGGCCAAATATCATCACCCTAGGCCTTGCGGTTATTAAGAAGAAGTTGTTTAAAGTAAAATATTGACGCCGGACGCTGCACCATGCCATAAGCTCACTTGGCCCTTCGGGCCAGGTGAACTAAAATCGTTATTTGTTTTGGCATTTTGATGAACATTTTTTTGACAGACGAATGTTTTTTTGACAGTACAACGTTGACTGATCTTACCTTGGATGTTTACAACAATGCCATGTATCATTGTTTAATAACAATGCTTATCAAGAGACCTTTTGTATATTTTACAGATACTATTGTTAAGTTCCTCACAGTATTGACAAAACACATTTTACACAAAACCGTCGACATTTACAGAACATGATGTACAAGACTTTTCTTGTTTATCAACGAAAATATATATAGTTCTATTGCATTTTGTGAATTTATATCCCCCTATATAGTTGTTAATGATAGTGATATCAGCATGGTTTTGTTACTTGTGGTGAGTGTGGAATAAAACCAACAGCAAAACGAGATATTTTGTGATCCTAGTATATCATGCTCTTTAACATTACGTGAACATGTTCTTGCTCAGTGTTGTCGGGCAATAAAAAAACCTTACAGCTGACGTCATGTATTGGACATGTAATATTTGTTCAATGTTACAATTGAGATAAATTCACATTTTTTTGTGGTATTTCACGATCTCTTTCTTTTTTGTTTTATGTCTCCTTGGTTTACATTGGAATCTTTTCGTGCAGTATGCTTTAATTATTAAAACCTGTTATCATATTTCAGATGAACAGCTGGTAACACATTTACTATTTTTTAATCCATAACTTCTCATATTGACATAAAACTATTCTTTTTATGTGTTGAAGCTATGTTAATATTTTCTATTTTATTTCTCAGATTTCAAAGTGAAAAAGCAAGACATTTTCTATTGACTTCCTTTACATTAAATACAATATTTGAAGGTATTATGCAAACATCCGTTAATATCAAATAATTAATTATGAAACTGTTCATTGATGTTATGCAATATCACTGTGGGAATTTGTCTATTAAATTAGTAAAATAAAAACCGTTGGGAATATATGGGCACTCAAATTTGATATTAAAAGATAGGCAGGACCTAGGAGACACCGAAATAAAAGGAAAGACAACATCGACCCAATAAGAAATCTTGGGCAAAACCAGGTGTTCGGGATGGGTAAGTGTTTGAATATTAAATATGCTGTTTTGTCAAGAAGATGTTTGGGGTGTATTTCATGATATTTGTAACATTTCAAAATACCTGATTATGCCTAATGACTGTCGAACAGAGAAAATCGCATACAAATAAACACATTTCAAGAGGTGGGCATTCGAAATATTTCAGTATATTAGTAATACTGATTTATCGATACAAAT